ACTTACGCTACTTATAAGTAGGCTGCCCCTACTTATAAGTAGCTCCTAAGTAACTTAGCTACATATGAGCTACTTACACTACTTATGAGCTACTTACGAGCTACTTACACTACTTATCAGCTACTTACGAGCGACTTAGGAGCTACTTATAATTGGCGTAACTGCATAAGTACTTATAAGTACCCCCGCCGCGCGCAGAGAACGGCCTCCGGCACCGTTTCCGGACAGATCCGGACAGATCCGGTGGATCCGCGCCCCGGGGGAGGTGCCCAGAGGAGGAATGAGGAGGAGGAGGAGGAGGAGGAGGAGGAGGAGGAGAAGATGATGGAGCTGCGGGGTGGAGGAGGACAGACGGAGGCAAGAGAAGGATGGAGGAGGAGGATGAGGAGGAGGAGGAGGAGGAGGAGGAGGAGGAGGAGGAGGAGGAGGAGGAGGAGGAGGAGGGGGAGGAACCTCATCCTCACCCTCGCCAACAAGCGCACGCACCTTCTTCTATATACAGAAACTCCCGATCAACCGCAGAGCGGCCGGCTAGTCACCAGAGTAGAAGCTGAGAAGCGGATCATTTTCACGCATTTGGGGGATTTCATATATATATAGAGAGAGAGAGAGAGAGATTTCTTCGCCCTGGCGGGAGTAAACGAAAAGCCTCGAGCGAAGTATGCAGAACAACCCTTCTTCAATTTCTGTGACGCATCTACGAGGGAGAGCCAGGATAATCTCAGACCAGCCCAGGTTTCCATTGGATGCCCACAGGACATTGGAGGGACCCTGCTGGAAGCTCAAAGAAGCCCTACGGCCGACATGCACTCGGCCAGCGAGGATGGCAAGCCAAGTCGGTAGGTCAATGCGTCGTCTTCGGAAGATGAGCAGAGAACGCGCGCGGCTCACAAGCGGATCCGCAAAATGGAGACGGGCAGCCGCCCTGCCATTGCTCACCAGCACTTCCTGAAGCAGAAATGCTGTGCTTCGGAGGAGGAGGAGGAGGAGGAGGAGGAGGAGGAGGAGAGGAGGGGGAGGGGAGGGGGAGGGGGAGGAGGAAGGAGGAGGAGGAGGAGGAGGAGAGAGAGAGGAGGCAGGAGGAGGAGGAGGGGAGGAGGAGGAGGAGGAGGAGGAGGAGCAGGAGGAGGAGGAGGCCTGCTGAAGGAGGAGGAGGATGAGGATGATGAGGAGGAGGAGCAGCAGGAGCAACAGGCCACCAGCCGCCGCTCGAACTTCTCCTGGAACCGAGGGCTCGGGCACTGGCCGCTAGTGTGCACTTCCAGCTCCAGCGGCGACAGGCTCGACGAACTCGCACGTGCGAGGAGGAGGAGGAGGAGGAGGAGGAGGAGGAGGAGGAGGAGGAGGAGGAGGAGGAGAGGGAGGGGGAGGAGGAGGAGGAGGAGGAGGAGGAGGAGGAGGAGGAGGAGGAGGAGGAGGAGGAGGAGGAAGAGGCCACCAGAGTCCTCCCGACCCAAATACACCCCTCTTCAGCCACCCAGATCTTCGATCTCGTCGGAGATTCGGGAGGCTCGGCGGATGTTGCAAGCGCGACGCGTTGCGTTCAGCAGCGGAGGCAAGCCAGGGAGGTCCCGTCGAGGTCATGGGAAGGACCATGAAGGGCACGGGTGGGTTGGCCGAGTTGCTGCAGATAAATCGCTTGCGGAAGGTTCCGTTCTAGAAGAAGGATTTGAAAGGGTTTGGCACTTTGGCCTACGAGGGGCCTTGACTTCGCCGAGTGCAAGGACTTGGTCGAGGCCATTTGTTTACCCCCTGGCGATTACGGGCGTAACTCGGGGAGGAGGGGAGGGGGTTGGTAAGAGGTACCGCGAATGATAAAAACTGGGTGCGTCGAGACGCTGGTGGTTGAGGGCCCTGGGGCTGACTCGGGAGCCTCCCACCCATCCTCTGATGCTCGTCGCGAGAAAGTTGTGGGCCAATTCGGTCTTGTCGAGGCGGACCTCGCCTGGGCGAAGGACCGCGCTTTCCGGTGCGGAGTCGGCTCTCGACCAGTGTGGTTTTGTGTGGTTTCGTTGGGTCATGGCTGTCAGCTTGTTCCAACCTCCTCTTCCTCCTCCACCGTGCCTCCTTTCCCCCTCGCCCTCTTGTTCCCTCTCGTATGTATGGGTTGTTCCAGGATGGGTCGTGGCCTCAGCGCGTCAAAACGGAGGCGGGTATGTCGGCGGAAACTGGCGGAAGCCCGCGCAATTAGCAGTGACACGTCAGCATGTTTGTATCCATGGCTTCTCGAGTTGGCCATCTATACAACATACCTCATCGTGGGGCCATCGGACTTGCTGGTACAGCGCGCCAGGCGTTCGCCCGAAATCTGTTTGTTGCACACGGCCCTGATGCGAACCTGTTTTTGTTCAAAGTGTTCCGCTTCCCTACGCCTTGCGTGTTTTCAATGTTACTTGCCTCCGGCAGTTACACAGCGGATGGCGGCATGTTGTGTCCGCCCTCAGCGCCGCGCACGCTTGTGTTGAAACGTTCGGGGGGGCAAAGTAGGAGCCGAATTTGGGTCAACAATGTCGTTCTCGCCCAGGCCCCGCGCACATACGTTTTCATAGTTCGCATCAGCGGAGCGAATGGAGGGTGGGTCGTCTTCGACACTTTGCTTTCGTTCCAGTGCCGCGCAGTCGTGGCTCGAGCACTCCACACTACTGCACGGACTGAGGGGGACTCCTTTTCAAAAGTGCATTCTCGAGTGGGATTTTGTCCATATTGAATGCAGTCTAGTCTGGTACGCAAGTGTGCACAATATCTTCACGCATGGAGGGCGGATCTGTTCGAAGTAGGGCTATCGCGTGAGACAGCCTCACATCCAGATGGAGGACAGTTCCCGGCGAAGCCCAGGCTCTCGCCAGGAATGTACCTGAAAGTATGGCAATACTCATTGATACTCGTTGCAGCCTAGACTTGAGTCGGGCATGTCCCTCTACAGGAGTAAGATTCAATAATAGTGGAAAACAGTCTGGAGGGAGAGTTTTCGTGTTCGTTTCACTATGTTTGACAATTGTTTGACGATCTTGGACTTTTCTTCCAGAACCTGCCCTGCAGGAGGACATGCCCGACCTAAGCCGAGACGGATGGAGCTCGGCTCCATTCCAGAACACAAGCCTCGCTTGAAGGACAGCGCTCTAGCGGCGCCGACCTTTTCTTTTGTGTTTGTTTCTCCGTGGGACATATGCGGAGGAGACTCGAGGCGGGAGTGTGTGTGTGTGTGGCTCAAGCAGTGGCGAAGCGTCTTGGCTCGCCTATAGGCCTACCAAAGAATGTTCTAAGAACCTTTTGTGATTTGCACGAAATGTTCTTAGAACATTTCTGGCTGGGACCGGCTTGTTTTGACACATCGGGTTTGTGTTCTAAGAGCATTGTTCTTGTTCTGAGAACATTTCTGGGTTCTGAGAACATCTGAAAGAGCGAGTTCTACCGCTGCTGGCAGAAAACCCGGGAGGGGGGTCACTGGGGGTTCCCAACCCCTCCCCCCCCCTCAAAAACCGGGGGGGGTCACTACTGGTTCGAACCCCTCCCCCCCCCAGTCCATCATGAAAAGGAGAGGGGTCACTACCGGTTCGAACCCCCCCCCCTCGAAAACTGGGGGGGGTCATTACCGGTTCGAACCCCCCCTCCCCACCCCTCGCAAACCGGGGGGGTTCGCTACCCGCGGTTCGAACCCCGCCCCCCCTCCCTCCCCCTCGCCGCCGGCAAACGATTCCCGCTCCTCGGGACAGTTGGACAATGGTGGGGATGCTGGGACAGTGGTGGGAACGGTGGTGGTGGGGACAGTGGTGCGGGGACAGTGGGGCAGTGGTGCGGACAGTGGTGGGGACGGTGGTGGTGGGGACAGTAGTGAGGAGACAGTGGGACAGTGGTGGGGACAGTGGGACAGTGGTGGGGACGGTGGTGGTGGGGACAGTGGTGTGGGGACAGTGGGAATATGGTGGAAACAGTGGGACAGCGGAGGGTACAGTGGTGGTGAGGACAGTGGTGAGGGCGGTGGCGAGGACGGCGGTGGGATAATGGGACAGGTACAGTGGGGACAGTGGTGGGGACAGCGGGGACAGTTGTGGGAACAGTGGGACAGCTCAATGGGACAGCGGCGGGGACAGTGGGACATTGGGACAGTGGGGCAGTGGGACAGTGGTTGGGGCCGTGGAGAAAGTGGGGAGTGGAACCGTGGTGGGAACAGTGGTGGGGACAGTGGGGACAGTGCGACAGTGGTGGGGGCACTGGTGGGGACAGTGGGGACGGTGGTGGGAACAGTGGGGACAGTGGTGGTGAGGACAGTGGTGCTGGGGACAGCACTGGGGGATGTGGTGCGGACGGTGGTAGGGACCCGGAAGTCGTTTGCTGGCGGTGAGCGTGGGGGGGGGAGGTGGGCCGAACTGGTAGTGACACCCCCCCGGTTTACGAGGGGGGGGGGGGGAACCGGTAGTGGGGGGGGGGGGGTTCGAAGGGACCCCCCGGTTCCGGGGTTCGAGAAAGAGGGGGAGAATTTTTTCCCGGACAGTAAAGCGGCGGTGGATCACGATCTCTCGAACATCTCGTGGTAGGCCTTTAGTAATGCTGGGACGGTCGGTCCCTAAGCTGCTCAAGTGGCACAACGGTTGATGCATCCTGTGTTTTGGCCCTCGTCATCCGGCTCGTGGAGCAGTGCGGCTGTGTGTCGTTCCAAGAGGGGCCTTACCTTCGGGGACCGAAGGAGCTGTCATCTCCCCCCTCCTCCCTCCTCCTCCCTCCCTCCTCCTCCTCCTCCTCCTCCTCTCCTCCCTCCTCCCTCCTCCTCCTCCTCCTCCTCCTCCTCCTCCTCCTCCTCCTCCTCCGCCTCCCCCTCCTCCTCCCCCTCCTCCTCCTTCCGCGGCCGGCGGAAGCCGGCAGGGCTGGCGGGAGATGGCGGGAGCAAAAGGTACGCCCCCTCCAGGCTGTGCACACGCCTTCGGGCGCCAGGGAGCCCGAAGGCGCCCACACGGCAAGGGGAGATTTGGGCCGGCGCGTAGCGCGCAGGGCCCCGGGGCCGCATGACCGGCGTGGTGTTCGGCCTCGGCGCCGCGTGCACCACGGGCTGCATCGTCGCCTTAGACGTCCGGAGGAGGCCGGCGGCCCCGGGCGGAGGAGGAGGGGGAGCAGCAGCAGGAGCAGCAGCGGGAGCAGGAGCAGGCCAGCCTCAGCTGGGGGAGCTGTGGTCCTTCCCCCCTGGGGGACCCATCGATCTCGACACCCCTCTCGAGAGATCGTCGACGCGATGGGTTCCCCCAGGGGCGTGAGGACCACAGCTCCCCAGTTATGGCTCGTCGGAGGAGAAGCGCGAGGACATCGGAGATCGTGCTCTGAGGTCTTCGGTGTTCCCGCTGTTTTTCGGGGCGCCGGCTTCGGAGAGCGGATCTGGAGGTGCGCTGCGACAGAGACCGTAGCGTCACCACCCAACAGACCACCCCAACCCAACCCGACGGTGCCAAATGGCCCTCCATTCCCAGTGTGGGGGGGTCGGGAAGCAATAAAAAAGCACACATGAAGCCCGCACCCTCCCCCCGACCGAACTTCGGGTCTTCGGAATGGGTTTGGGGGGCTTGGAAAGTAGTCATAGAGAAGACGGGAGCTCGGCGTCTGCATGGATCCATGGTTGGTTGCTTCCATGCGGGCGCAAAGGCGCCCTTCCAGGTCGGGGCGCTCGCACAAGAAGGTTGCATTGCTTACATAACCTCCGTGGCTGAAGCCCAGCCACGCGCAGAGGGGGTAGGGGGAGGGAGGAAGGCTTCTTAGAAGTACCCCTGCTTCTTTGAAGGCGCGGGCATTGTCTCTAGATGCAGGGCCAGCGTAGTCTAAGAAGCGGCTTCCTTCTAAGAAGCCTTTCCCTCTCCCCCTACCCCCTTGTGCGCGCCGCCAACAAGCACCTCACCCCTCTAACTGTCACATTTGGCTGGCCACGCATGGCCATTTGCCCCGCAGAAGAAGAATAATACTAATAATAAGAAGAAGAGGATCAAGCAGTCTTCGACCTTAAGCTGGCTGCCAAGCCAGAGGAGGAGGAGGAGGAGGAGGAGGAGGAGGAGGAGGAAGAGGAGGAGGAGGAGGGAGCTGGGGGGACGCCCCCCCCGACACACACACACACACACACACAAGCCCTTCCCTCGCCCGTACCCGCTCCCCTCGCCGTCCACCTCCCCCCCCCTCCCCCTCGCCCAAACCCTTCTCCAACTCCGCGGCCCTCTCCCCCTCGTCATTGTCAAGATCACCCGCCTCCCTCCCTCCCACCGTGGTCTGGAGGCCGTCGCTCAGCTTTCGAACAGCAGGTCCCCTCCCATGTCTCCCCACCTCCCACCGAGGCGACTGCGACTGCAGCGGAAGCAGCCGTTGGACCAGGCGGCCGCGGCAACGACGGAGGGGATCCAGCGCGATGGCATGGGAACAGCGAAAACGTCGTGCGGACGGCTGGGGAAAGTGAGTAGGGAGCGCATGGGGAGGCGGAGGGGCAGGGGGCGCGCGCGTGCGAGGGGGGCGGAGGGGGAGGGGGAGTGGTGGGGGGGGGGCAGGGGAGGGTGCGGAAGTGGGGGACGGGGACCGGGGAGGCAGAGGGAACGAGAGAGGGAAAGGGGAGAGTATGGTCAGGGGAGGTTCAGTCAGGGGGCGAGAGCGGTGGCAGCAGGAGCGTGTGCGGCAGGGCGCGATATGGTCGGGCAGAGTTGGGCAGGGTCAGTGGCCGGTGTAGGGAGGGAGGGAGGGAGGGAGGGAGGTTGACCACGCGTGGACTACTGCAGGGCTGGGCGGGTTGGGTACAGGGCCAGGCCAGGCGTGGCTCGGATGCTGGTCAGACTGGAGCATGTCGGCGCTGGTGTTGGCGAGGTCGGACGGGGTGGGGCGAGGCAGAGGAGGGAGGGAGGGAGGGAAGGAGAGGAGGAGGAGGAGGAGGAAGTGGAGGAGGGGGAGGAGGAGGTGGAGGAGGGGGAGGAGGAGGACGGGGAGGAGGAGGAGGAGGAGGAGGAGGAGGAGGAGGAGGAGGAGGAGGAGCAGGAGCGTAGATTCAGACGGAGCTGGAGTGGATGGGCAAGGGCGGGTCGAGCATTGTAGGGGGCGGGCAGGCCAAGCGAAGGAGGGAAGGGGAGCGCACTGGAGCGGAGCTGAAAGAGAGCCATGTTATCCCCCTCTGCTCTAAAAAGTCTGTTGTTGATGAATGTACAATCGTTGAGGGAAAGCTCCTCGTCCATATCCTCCCATTGTTCAACCTCCATCCCCGGCATTCTCCTCCCGTGGCATGTTTGGCTCAAGGTTCAACCTCCGTTTGCCAATCCAGGAGAAAAGGCTCAACGCTGAAGCTCAAGCCAAGTTAATGCCACATAACAAATTACGGCAGTGTTCCGTCATATCCAGTTGCGCCACGGGTGCATATCACGGCGACCTCCGTTGCCTGTAGTTCCCCATTGCATTATCCCGCACAATGTGGAGTCGTATTGTTTCCCAAGATGTACCGTCTCGATGCCGCCAAGCCGAAGCAACACCTACAGCTAGTTTTGAAGCGAACGTGGAGCACATCTGCCACACGTACTTGCACTCCCACCTGAGGCATCGATTGTAGCGAACAGGGAACACATACAAACGCAAAGCGTTCGTATGTATGAGCTCGTCCTGGTGTGGGATGGTCAGACTCGAGAAAGGAAGGGGCGAAAGTTCAGATTGATAATGTTCAGAAGTGGTGTCTCACCCGACTGTCCGCGTGAAGTTTGCTAGAATATCACAAAGCGTCAGAGAGACTCAGGGAGAAACGACAGGGGAGGCAAGCATGGAGGAGGGAAGAGGGAATGAGAAGGAACGGCGGTAAGAGGAAGAGGTGGTGAAGGGAAGACGGGGAGGAGGTGCAGAGGAGGATTGGGAGACTGGGGACAGGGGGAGAGAGGGGAACGGGAAAGGTGGAGATGGAGGGGGGGAAGACAGGCTGGTCATTCCCAGTCGTCCATGGCCCCTGGCGCGGCTCGTCCCCCGCAGGTACACCTCGAGACGTCCTCGAGGTACGCCTGCGCCTGGGGCGCCGTGGGCCCCTTGGCCCTCTGTCTTGGCCAGTCCTAGATCCCTCCGCCCTGTCCCCCGTCCGCCCCCGGCCTGCCTCCTGCCCATCCACTCCGCCCCGTGTTGCTGGGCATGCTCTTCACGCGGACGCAAGCTTATTGACGTCCGCCGCTGGCTTCTCCGCCTCACGCTGTGGCGCAGCTCTGCTGTAGTGGTATACAGTCCGCGGGATAGGGGCCATTCATCATTGTGGTTCGTGGCAAAAAGTATCCAACCCTTGGGCTAGTGCACTGCCATGACGCATGGAGGCTTAGTGGGCCCCGGAAACTGCAGCTTTTGGAAATAAGCCACTCTGGCCTTCGAGGCCCGTCGGATCACGCAAACGGAACAGCCCAAAGCTCGACCGAGCCTACACACTTGGTGGCCCATGTCGGGGCGAACCAAGAGGAGCGCTTCGGGATCCTGAGCCCGAGGACTATGGAGAGGGCCCGTGTCAGGCCACCCGAAATCAGCCATTCCTTTCAGGATTCCCCCATGGTGGCCGCACCAGGCGACGGCCTGCGAAGCGGCTTCAATCCAGCGGCCCTCGAGCTCCGCGAGCAGCTGCTGGCCTGGGTGGAGTTTCGCGCCCAGCCGCGCCTTGACGTCCGCCTCGCGGTTCCCTGCGGAGGCCTGCAGGGTGGCGTCGCGGCGGCACGCCTTGGCCCAGCTGGTGTGGGCCGCCCGTCGCCCACCGCAGGTCCACGAATTCGGCCCCGAGCTCCTCGACCTGGTGGAACAGCTGCTTCCACGAGTCCGCATACTTGTGTTCGTGCCCGCAGCTCTGGGGGGGCCCCAGCACGAAGTCGTCCCTGGCCCCTTTTGCAGTCCGTGCGGATGGCCACCGGCTCGGGCCCCACCTCCTGCAGCACTCGTTTCAGGGCGCGCAGCTCGGCATAGCCTATCTCCTGGGTCCATCCAGGCGCGCACCCGCACATGCCGCCGCCGAGGACCGAGCGACACCATCCATCATCACGGCCGACCACCCTGTGCGAGTGAGATTGGGCACCTCGGGGCACATCGCCGAGCCGTCGATGCATATCACGCCCCTGAATCACTCGTGGCGCGCAAGCCCAGCCCTGTGGCAGTTCTCGTCCACGTTGGGCGGCGGCGCCTGGTCGACCCCCAGGTTGTTCAGGCCACGCGTCATCCCGAGGTCGTCCTCTGGCGCGCTTCTCCCTGCGACCGCCACGCTCTGGATTCCCAGCTCGGCTGCCAAAGTCACGATCGCGGGACAGGTGAAGAGGCGGTGATGTGCCGTGCCCGTCGCTCCCTCGCACCGCTGGCACAATTGGCTTAGCGCCGCCCGTTCTTTGTAGAGACCGCTCTGCGTCGCGAGCTCTCCTGCGATGTGGGCATCCAGCAGCGCTGTCCCCTCCTGCTTGCCGTCGCGGCGAAGCCCCGTCAGCGCGGCTCGGGAAGGCTCCAGGTCGGGCGCCCGCCTTTCCAGTTGCTCGAAGCTCTCGCGCTTGGCCACTTGCCTCAGCAGGTAGCGGTAGACCCCCTCCTCCACCAAGTTGGCTTTCATGCGCGGGCTGAGGAGCTGCAGGTCCACGACGTGGCCCCGCTCGCCCCCCTAAGGTGCTACGCCCTGAAGGCCCAGCCAAGGCGCTCCAGCGAGAGGCAGACTGCCCCCGCAGGTCCCGTGACGTCGCCCCAGTTGTCAGGTTTCACTTCCAGCACCTTCTTAAAAGCCGCCGCGGGCCTGCACCCCGGGAAGACAGCCGTCGCCCACGCCCTTAGGGGAAGCTCGTGCGGCGTAGGCGGGGTCATGCCTCCAAACTTGGCCTTCCCGCAGCGCGAACAGCACCGTCCGAGACTTGCTGCCTATCTCGCCAGTCAAGGCTCCCGCTCACCGCGCGGGCACGCTGCAGCCCTTGCGGAGGCGCCCCGCTGACCCTGGCGCCGTGCAAGATCGAGGCCAAGCCGCCCGCCCTGAACACCAGGGAGAGCCCCTTGGCCCCTGCCTGAAGCAAGGCCGTGTAGCGTCCGGCTCGCTGCCTGAGGCGGTTGATCCGCTGGCGCAGCACCCGCCAGGACGCCCTCTTGGACATCCACGCCCCGGTTCTCCGTGGCCCCCGCGTGCCTGAACTGCCAGCGCATGAGCCTGCCCTCACGCGGCGAGCAACCCCCCATCAGAGCTGAGGATATGGCCCTTGGTCGCCGAGATCTTGAAACCTCTGCCCCCCAGGCTCTGGCGCAGCATGCGGGTGGCCCCGACCAATATGCGACCCGCATGCGCTCTCTTGGCGTGGAACGCCAGCGCGATGTCTTCGACCACCGCGTAGGCCTTCACCGACTGCCAGGACTTGAGCATCGCGTCGAGCGGCTGGATGGGGACGACCCGCAGAGCGCGGCTGCGAAGGAGCATCCAGCTATGAGCGAGAGGGCTACCTGGAACGCCTCCGTCTTCCAGCGGTCCAAGCACAGCCTCCGCTTGCCTCCGTAGAGCTGGCGAAAGACCTTGATCCTTCTCAGCGGGAAGCCCTCCCTGATCGCCGCGCGCACCATCCCTCGGTGCGTGGCCCTCTCGTAGGCCTTGCTCAGGTCGAGCAGCCCTGAGACAGAGACCAAGCCCGGGGCCTTGGAGCGGTCCGCATCGAAACTCTGGAGCCACACCGTATCCTCTCATGACTTCCCCGCACCGCCGCAGAAGTGGCGCGGCTCGAGGCCATCGACCCCGCTGCAGTGCTCTCCTTGAAGGACCGCGCGGCGTCCAGGATGTCCTGCGGCGCCGGTGGCCGCGGCGCCTCCTCCAGCATCTCCTCGGGCAGCACCTCCTCGACATCGAAGCCCTTCGCGCCGTGGCAACACACCTGCTGGCACCCCGCTGCGAGCGCCTGCAGCGCGCCCGCCACGCCCGCAGGTTGGCCCGCGGCTGTCTGGTCAGCCGTCCAGCCCACGGGGGCTAGGCAGAAGCCGCGCGCTGCTCCTCCACCGTCTCGAACGGCCGCCTGCGCCCACTCCCGCCAGGCCTTGGCGCGGGCCTCGGCTTCCTTTTGGTCGAAGGCCTGGGCCGCCTGGCGCGCGCGGCCTTCCAGCGCCTGGAGCTCGCTGAAGGTCAGGGCCCTGGCCGAGCGGAGCTGCTGCGCCAGGTCCTTCTGCCGCGGCGCCTTCCGTGCCACCTCGAGGCCGATGTCCCCCGCTAGGCGCGGGCTGGCCAGCCCCCCTAGCCCGGCTTGCAGCACGGCCTGGGCGACGAGCTCGCGCGGAATGTGACGCGGCATCCGCGACCGCCTCCTGCTGGCCAGCAGCTCCCAGCACGTTGTGGCGATCCTTCGCCGAACCTGCGCTTGCGGGCGCCCTCTGGCATGTGCCCCCCGCCGCGTGACGCTGATCTGCTGCTCCACGAAACTGGACTGCGCGCCGCGCCCTCCGTGCCGAGCTTGCTCCTCCTCCTGCCAATCGTGGAGGCCAGCGGTGTCCTCCTCCAGCAAGCCCGCGAAGCGCTCGTAAAGCTCGTCCAAAGTGGCGACGCCAGATCCTTCCCAAGCTACACCATTATCATGGTCGGCAGCTCCACGAGGCTGACGAACACGAGTCCCCAGCCCACCTCGCTGAGGCCCAGTTTCGCCACAAACCTGGGACCTCTGCTCCCCCGCGGCCTCCACCAAATCGGTCGCGGTCCTGCTGGGCCTGCCTCTCGTGCCCGTCTCCTCCGCAAACGTGGCGACGGCGACCGCCAGGTTGGCCTGAGGGCCACGCCCATCGGAGCGGCCCTCGGGAGGGCCCCCGCGGCCAAGCTGCCTGAGCGGCCTCGCGGCCCATCCGTCCTGTGAGCCGACGCCCCCAGGCGAGGCGGAGGAGCCCCCTCCTAGCCCGCAAACACTTGCTCAACACCGACGATCCCCGCGTCCTCTGTGACTTCTCTGTGTAGGCCAGTCACAGCTTCTCTCCAGTCCACAGCCAAGTTGTCCCGCAGCGACCTTAGCGCGGCCTCGCTGACTCCCACCGGCAGCGCGCGGGCAGGCCCCAAAACAGAAGGGCAGCTCGAAATGGGCGACGTCAAGGAGGCCGTGGCACATGTGGCAGTGCCCCCCCCCCCCCCAGCGACCCCCCACCCCGGGAGACTGCCCCGTGGGCGCTCGCCCCAGGAAAGCCTGGCACGGGTCTTGCGGGGCGCTGCGATTGGCCCCGATCGCGCCGACCAGGTCTTGCAGTAGAACCTTCCAGCAGGGCGTCGCTCGCCGCGGCCCAACCGGCCTCTCCGCTGGGAAGGCGCGTGGCGCCCTGCAGGTGCAGCGCCTTCTCCTGCACCCTGGCGCCGTCCAGCTACGGTCTCACGGGGCAGCGCGGGCTCGGGGAGCTGCCCGAGCGCGCGGCTTCCCGATCCGAGGCCCAGCGCTGCCGGACACCACGGAGAAATCGATCTCCGCGCCGCCCCCCACTCTGCAGGTTGTCGCGCCCGAGCTGACCACGAAGCCCGAGACGCGTGTTTGCCAGCCCCAGGCTCCCAGCTCTCGCGGCGCGCAGTTCCAGTCGCCACCGATGATGAACGGGACCCGCGCTGCTTCGAGATATTGGCCCAGCTGCGCCAATGCGACCCGACTCTCAGGGCCCAGTCCACTGGCCGACGCCAGGTAGAGCGAGACCGCGAGAAAGCCGCCTGGCACCACAACGCTGATCCAGCGGGCAACCACGCGGTCAGATTGCAGCGGCGGGCCAGCAGGCGGCCAGCCCATGCCCAGATGCGCGCGGCAGGCGATGCCCACGCCACAGGGCAGCCCGCCGCGCTCCGTGCGCATGGCCTCCGCGAGGGGAGCCTTCCAACCCTCCCGACGGCAGGCCTGCTCGACCTCCGCCCTGGCGCCCGGCGCAACCCCTGTCGCCTGCACGAAGAGGATGTCGCCATCGGCCTCCTCCTGGAGCCAGCGGAGCACGCTGGACCTGGAGGCGGAGTTGGCCGTGTCCAGCCTCCAGGCCCCTGCACGCGGGCTCTGACGAATCCTCTGGGCCGCTGCCCCTATGGAGCGCGTCGTCGCCCTTGGCGGCCTCCTCGGCGCCCGCGCATGCGCTAGCTCCGCCTGGGAGTCGCAGCCGCTGCGGCAGGGAGCAGCCGTGCTTCTCCAGGAACTACTCGATCTCGCTCCGCTTGGCGGCGTCGAGGGCAGCCACCCCAGAGGCGAACTCCGCGCCGCCCATGCCGGCCGGCGTTTGCCGCGCCGCCTCCGCCAGCCGCATCGGCCGCAGCAGCAGTGGCAGGAGGCTCGGCAGCCCCTGCCCCCTCCGCGGCGGCTGCCCGCAGGGCGGCTGCCTAGGCCGCGTCGATCGGGCCTTGGTAGCCGCTGCGAGCTTGCTGGGCATCTCCACCGCCTGGTTGAGTTGCACCGCCCCCTCGCCGTCGGACCTGCCCTTGAGCTCCGCGTCGCCTGCGCCTGGACGTCGATGTCGGCGGCGCGCTGATGCGCCTGCTGCGCTGCCTCAGGCGGCAGGCCCGCCTGCTCCGCGCGGCGCGCCCTCTCCAGCAGCACCTCGGCGTCCTCGTGGGCCGCGGACGCGGTGTCGCGGGCCGCCTTGGTTGCGCCCAGCGCCTTCTGCGCGAGCTCGCGCGCCGCGTCGAGCCACTTCTGGGCTCGCTCAGGCTTGGCGGTGGCGTTCTTGACCTTCCACATGGCCGACTGCGCCGCCGCATGGCGTGACTTCGGGGGCTCGGCCGCGGGCGCCTTGCTCGCCGCCGCCTCCAAGCCCAGCTTCTTCCTGGCGTCGTCGTCGAGCGTGAGCCCTCGTGACGCCAGGAGCGCGAACCCCGAGGCCAGCTTGTCGTCCTCGCCGTCGTCGACCTCCACGACTTCGGCCGGTTCGCGGAACCGCGCCCGCCGAGGCTTGTTTCCGCCATGCACCCAGCCGCGCTCGGCCCTCGGCTACGGCGGGGCCCCCTCGGCTTCACCAGGGCCCGCCGCGGCCGCCGCAGCCCGCTGGCGGACCACCGCCGGCGCCGAGCCACCGCAGCCCCTGCAGTGGAGCCGACCGGCCCATTTGGCCGCCTCGCCGCAGCGGTAGCCCCACAGCGGCAGCCCGGGGCCAGGGAGCATCCAGTCCGCGGCCGCCACCGTCGCGTCGCAGTCCCCGCGCGCCCCTCGGGTGGACGCGGCCCACGGTGGCGGCTTGGCCATCGCGCGAGCCACGATGTATATACGGAATTGCTGCAACTCTTTGCCAGATTGGCACGCGCGCACGTGCCACTCTGAAGTACGTACGCGCAAGACCCTCCCCTTGCTCTGCGGAAGAAATCGGAACAGCCCAGAACGGTTCTCTCCTTCTTCCTCCGCCTCCACCACCTCCACCTCCTCCTCCTCCTCCTCTTCCCCCTCCGCCTCCTCCTCCTCCTCCTGCTTCTCCTCCTCCTCTTCCTTTTCCTTCTCCTGTTCCTCCTCCACCTCCTCCTCCTCCTCTCCTCCTCCCCCTCCTCCTCCTCCTCCTCCTCCTCTCCTCCTCCTCCTCCTCCTCCTCCTCCTCCTCCTCTCCCTCCTCATTATCCTCCTCCTCGTCCTCATCCTCGTTCTCCTCGTCCTCCTCCCCCTCCTCCTTCTCCTCATGGCCGCAGGCGGCAGCCAGTATGAGCCGCAGACGGCCATTTTCGTTTCTTGTTCGTGCAATCTGTCAACGGGACAAACAAGAGGGCGGCGGCGGCAAGATATGCCGCAGCCGCCCCAAGAGCGCGAAGCAAGGAATGGGAACGGCAGGGGGGGGGGAAAGCAAGATGGGAAGCAAGGGGGAGCAGGAATGAGGAGGGGGAAGGGAGGGGAGGGGGGGCAGGCACATAGGGGGCCGGGAGGAAGGGAATCGGAAGAAGGAGTGGCTGTGGGTAGTGTGGGCAGGAGCTTCCGGTGACCTCTGTCTTCTCCGTCGCTCCCTCCTTCCCTCGCCCTCCCTTCCTCCCAGCTAGACTTTAGCTCTGATCTTCCAGGAGCCATCGAATGTGGACACATAGGTGGCAGAGCAGTTCGCGGAGCAGACAGTGAGAGGATATGCACCCGCATTCGCATCGGGCTTCAAGGAGAAACGATTATCCTGCGCTGACATGCGCTGACTTGCGCTGACATGCGCCTCCAAGATGTCCGCGCTAACCTGCGCTGACCTGCGCTGACCTGCGCTGAAGTGCTGACCTGCGCTGACCTGCGCTGTCCTGCCCCTGTGAATTCACCGGGTTGGATGCGAACGCGCTCCTATCTCCACTCTGGTAGCGGAGCCGCCTTTCGGGGCGGCGCGCGCGCGACATCCGTCGCGAAGCTGAAGTTCGACCAGTGGATCAAGAACAATCGGTTTTGGAACGGGCACCCCACGGAGGTGATCACCACCAGAAGCGAAAAGATCCATTGCATCAAGGTTTACTTCATCCCCATCCGCGACGCTGCCGCAGAGGACCCCTACTGTTTCTCATCTGCGGCCTGGCGACATCACTACACCCGGTAAAGCTTGCAGAGTATCCTCATATAGCATCCCCGACAGCACCCACGACGACATCCATAACAATGGCTAGATCGTTGCTTGGTGAACAAAAACCCTTCGAGAAGGGCACACGTCAAACACCTCCTGGCTGGAGGCCGGGCATCGCGAAATACGGCATCAATATGTATCTGCAGAAGTTGAGCCTGTGGTGGAGGACGAAAAACATTGACGACGAGAGCGTGGCAGCGCTCCTTGTCCTTCAGCGCCTTCAGGGAGGCGCGCTCAAACAGGCATTGAGATTCAAACCTGTTCGAGATGGAGTTGAGTACATCGGCGAGAACGCCTTCGCGCCGACGCGAACCCATGAGGACCCACTGGCACGCATCCCAGCGCAGGCTTCAGGACTTTCTATGTTCACTTGATGGTTATCGACAGAGTACGGGCTTCATGAACAGGACACGGTTGGCGTTGACCTCGGTAAGTCGTTCAGTCATGAACGAGGTCAGCGGGATCTTCTTCAGTATTCTTCAGATTTCGAGCCTGTGCATGGCGAAGCACATGACCAGGCAGGATTGACAATCAATAACACGCCTGCGAATCTCAGCCCAAGCGAAGGAACGACATCAAGCTGAGTATCGACGGCGACATCACCAAGTATGGAGAGATGAAGGTGATCCTGTCACGACTCGCCAAGCAACCCCAGGCCCAGGACAGCCCTGACCAGTACGACGGCTACTGGGTAGACCTGGACGACGACTACGGTTTGCACTACGGCGATTACGACGGCTACGATGATTACCAAGTCGGGTGGCAATCGTATGATGACGAGTACTGGGAAGAAGCGGATCATGAATATGACGAGTCGCACGATCAGGACAGCGACGGCGACGTCTACAAATCAAGCGGCAAGAAGAACCCTGGCAAGCGTGGCTCAACATTGCGTAATACCCCAGATTGCCCAGCAGCGACCAAATTCAAGGGCCCGAACGCCAAGGACCAGCACGACCAGGACACGCCGTACGACAAGAAACCCAGCAAAGGCAAGGGTAAAGGCCGCGGTGGTGGTAAAGGTTAAGTCGGACAGCTACAACGGAGGCAAGAGCTCCGGGAAGAATCGCGGCAAATCCGATGGACGAGGAAAACGACGAAAATGTAATCGATATGGAAAAGGGAGACGCCGAGGCCATTGCGAGGGGGATTACGACGACGACGAGTACGGCGATGGCTGGTGGGGTCTCGATAGCACTGACAATTGGTATCGCGCAGAAACGGAGATACGGACCATGAAGACGCGAGTGCGTCGAACATACATCAGCAACCACGATTCCCTCCCCTTCGACGGCGGAGACACCCCGCTAGCGAAAGGAGCTGCATCCTCATGGTCCTCTTTCCAAGCAACACAGTCACACAGTATCGATGAACACGATTCCCCAGCACCTCGCAGCACCGCCATGGACGAGGACGACGTGGTAACAGACCTCGAACGCCGATGGCCACGATCCCACAGGCATCACCAAGTGGACCATCGTCAGGCAGACCTACTTCGTGGACACCCAGCCTCAGCTTCCTGAGCGAAAACGAGAGCCCAGCTGTTCGCGAGGACCCTGAGGAACCTGTACTTAAACGCGGAGTTATTGCAGGAGGCTTGGGGTTCTCGGTCGGAGACATGACGTCCTCTGAAGTTGGTCAGTATCCCGTTCAGGACTCGAGCTCGACCAGCTACCACATGGTCAGAGGACGAAAGGCACATGGTCTGCCATGCGATCCCGGGGCAGCACCGGGCATCATCGGCGCCGACGCGGTCAGATAATAGCACTCGGACATCATTCCCAACACTTCCATCGAGACCCGACCGGCGAACTCAGAAGTCACGGGCGTTGATGGCGAACCAACGCCGGGCATCGGCAAGGCAGGCCTCCCCTAGAAGATTCCGGCCCGCAGAAGGGGCCACCTTCATCGGCGACGTGACCGGCAAGCGTGGCAGCTTCTGTCCTAGACTGCTACTTCTTTTAAGATATGAGATTTCGCGCGGTGACGTTCAGCAATGCATTTCCAAATGGCGATGACATCGTGGCTCTGTTTCCGCGGACCCCAGCACAGATGGGCGACGAGCGAGAAACTGCGCCGACATATGTGCATACATGTATATATATAAACATATATATATATATATATATATATATGTATGTGCGCGTGTGCGTTCCTCTTCCTAGATGTGCACAAGCCCGGGCGGGGGGGAAACCATCCCCCCCCCCGCAAAAAAAAACGGGCTCCCGGGATCTGGGGCTCTGGGGCCCCCCAGACGGGCTTCGGCGCGGCCAGCGGGCCTCGCATGGCGTTTTGCCGGGCCCCCCCAGCACGCCCAGGGCGATCAGGGGGGCCATCGGAGACGCCCCAGAGGCCCCCAAGACAGCACAAGAGCGCTCCAAGAGTGACCTTAAGATGGCCCAAGAGGCCCCTAGGGCGGCCCCGAAGAGGCCCCCAAGAGCACCCCCAAGAAGGCCCCCCGAGGCAACAATCATTGATTTCCTGTAGGTTTTTGGTGAATTTTAGGGTTCTCCCTTTTCGGCTTCCCGACGCTCCAAGACGGCGGTCTTCCTGGGCGCCCGAAGCCGCCTGGGGAGCCCCCAAATGGCCCCGCAACCATCCGAAAGGGCTCCCAGGCAGTCCAAGAGATACCCAAACCGGCACACCACGGGTCCAAGATGGCCCTCAGAGAGCCCCATGGCGGCCCAAGATGTCCCAAAGACACCTTCCGAAGAATTCCAAATCGCGACTCGGTCTCTCAGGGAGACCGCGGTTGGAGGCAGCGCGGCCCGAGGAAGCCCCCAGAGGCCCCCAGAGTACGCCCAGGAGGTCTCCAGAAGGCCTTAAGAAAGCTCGAAGCAGCCTTTGCGAGGCCCCCAGAGGCTCTCCAAGGAGGAGCCCCCGCAACAAAAAAAGCCGAGGAGGATGGGAGGGAATGCGCAGGGCATGGCGAAAATAAGGAAAAAAGAAGCATGGAGGAAGGGTAACAAATAACTTTATCATAGCGGCGATACCGGAAAAGGCAACCAGGAGTTATCGCTAACTTGTCGGCTTGACCTTCCTGCCATTCCGCCTGCGCGCCAAACTTCATGGACCAAGTTGCATGGCGCGAAGCGCCATTGCAGTCTTGTATATATATATATATATGTATGTATATATACATAAATATATACATATATATATACATATACACATATATATATATATATATATGTATATCAGACTGCTGCGCGCAAAATCTGGACACGACGCTGGCCCGATCGACAGCGACGCGACAAAGGAAGAGTCTCACCATCACCATTTGTACGAGCACGTGATGCAGCACGTTAACTTCTCCACTGGCTTCAATCCGTCCACGTCAGCATCCAGAGCTCCAACGGCATCTTCGTTCATCCAGATGCGGCACCCTTGGACACTGGCACCGGCATCGAGTCCCCCGACAAAACATTGCTCAGCAGTTGCAAACACTACCATGCTAACGGCACCCAGAACCTTCGGCGGCGGCTTCGACCCAGAGCAGTCAGCATCGGCGGTGACTTGGCAACTGAGGCATACATGGATCACGCCGTTGCCCCACTTCCGGTTGCAGAGTCTTCTGAGCGCGCGTCTAGGAAGAAGCGCTTCGCCAGGACGCAGCACTCCTGAAATGTCTGGAGTCAGTTCAAAGAAGGACGGCAGCATGGCTGCGAAACGCGCGCAGATGGATTCGACGATCAATTCTGCGAAAAATCTCACAAGCACTAACCGCATCAAGCCAGTAAGACCCCCCCCCCCCACGCCCCCACCCCCACCCCACCCCCCGCCCCTCATCTTGCGAGCGCGCAACGCATCCGGCACCCTGGAAGCTTCGCCTCGGCACCGGAGGAGCCCGCAGAGAGCGCCCGGGGCCAAGCTAAGCCTTGCTGAGCCCTGCTAGCTCCCGCTAAGCCCTGCTAAGCAATGATTAGCCAGGCTCGCCCCCTGCCGAGCCCTGCTGCGCCCTGCTATGCCCGTGCCGAACTTTGCTAGCCCCTGCTGAACGCCGCTGAGCGCTTCTACGCCCTGCTATCCCCTGCTGAGCCTCGCTAGGCCCTGTTCGCTCCACTAAGCCCCCAGGAAATCCTGGGCATATCCTTCGCGCGTCCTCGGCGTTCCCAGGGACGTGCGAGGGGCGCGTAGCATCTCCCAGGAGTCTCGGATCCGCGAGGTTCCGGGCCGCGGAATGTTCCAGGAAATGCACTGCATATCCAACGGCATCCCCAAGGATTTCTCCCTGCGCGGCGCGCGACGCGCAGCGGATTTTTTTTTTCGCGAGGCGCTATAGATATCGCCCTGCGAAAACGACCCCCTGAAAGATTTAATCTTGGCGCGGTGCTAACGATAAACCGGGGGGGGGGGGGGGATATCCGGGCGCCCCTGGGAAGTCTTAGAGTCGCACCCAGCAGCCGATGATCACACCCAAGAAGGATCTACGATTCCTTCAACACTTAATGGGCAAAGGCGTCTCGGGAGCGGACGTGCAAGAGCATGTCAGTGGCGGCGGTGCTATCGGCTACTGGGCCTACCGCATTGACGCGTCGGCTCTCTTTCTGACGGGCATGCGGCATGGTTGGGGTCTGAGACTGAAGGGGCATCAGGAACGCGTCAACACCTTCTGTAAGTCCTTAAGGGTCTGGCGAAGTTCCCGTTGCCTGAGCGCGCGCCCCGGTCGCAGACTAGCGCGACGGCGGGGCAGGTGAAGAAGGTCTTTGCGAGGGTCCAGGGCAAGCCACTTCTTCAGTGGGCCACCGACATCTGCAAGCAGACGAAAGACGACCGCACCGACCACGTTGTAGAGAACCCTGGCAAGTGCAGCATTTGAGAGGAATCACCTCTCACGGACTTGATGAACGACGAGGGTAGGCTCTACCACAACCTTTGCGAGCAGCGTCAATTTGGCCCGCAAGACTCGCAAAGGGCGCCTGTTCAGAGGAAAACTCGATCCGTGGCATCATGTAGGCTCAGGCGGACCGCAATGTATTATGCAGGCGCCGTCGACCTCGCGCTTGGCTGGTGGGCAGTTTTCGAACAACAAAGTCTCATGTATACCCTAGACTGTTGCGCGAGAAACTCTTCGGCGACTTCGTTCGCCGGCTGGGGTGCGTGCCTTCCACTACGTTGGGCATGAGTTTCTGGACATGTCACCGATATAAGAATGGTAACACCGCGACGGGGCCCCATGCGCGGGCGACAGGCTGCAGTTTCGATCCAGACAGAGTCTCCGCCGGCAGTTGCGGGCCCAGCATCCTCGCCGGCTCCGCCGCCCCCCTCCGCGGCAGCGCCTGGGCCGCCGCCGGCAGAACCATTGCCAGCAGAACAGGGCGAAGCATCTCAAGCAGATCAGGCTGCCAAAGCACCGCTCGAATTACCTCCCGGGCATGCTCTACCTGAGTTGGCCCCAAAGGAGAAAGCGAGCTGCGAGGGCGACCGCGTACTAGACCGGCATCGCGACGGAGAGTCCTTCGAAGATGCCGGCCATCAATCCCAATTCCGATTGCAGCGCTTCAAAACTCTACTCGAGGAGGCGGCCGCGGAACAGCCGGGGCTGGCGTTCTTGCTGGGATTTGCCATGGCGCTCCAGCGTGCGACACGTGATGATGTGGTGTCGTTGTGTCTGCACTGATATGCGTGGATCCTGCTGGAAGCCTGCGTCGCCTTTGCATCGGCCAACGCTCACCCGCGGAAGCTATCCTACCAATCTCACAGCCTCCAGCATCATTTTCATCTCCCTCGCCGACACCGGCGCGCCAACGATCGAGCCCACCGCGACAGCGCAGGCATCGACGGGCAGTCCAGCAAAGGCGGAATCAACGGTGCAGACTACGGAAATCTGGGACACTCCGGAGTCAGAAAAGAACATTCTCATCAACGACGACGTTCCGGCTGACGCGGCACCACCAGCATTGACACTTGACCGCGGCTCGCCCAAACAACCAGAAGCTGCGACCTCAGCACCGGAAGCAGCACCATTACCATCTCCTCTTGATGCCCCAGTTGGCGCCAAGAAGCACGACCTGAGCCTTAACGACGACGCGAAGATCATCGATCAGAGGCCATCACCATCACAGCCTCCCGAAAACAAGAACGTCAGACTACGACCGTCTGCTGCACCTACAGCCTCCAGCAAGCGACCGTTACCAGTCAAGGACGACGGTCACAGCAACTCACCGCCACCATCTTCACCACCAGCACTGGCGGAGACCAAGAGACCTAAGATGCTCGAGAACTTCGCGGCTTCTTAGCAACTAGCAGCTTGGCATTGTTCATGTTCAGGGCATGCACCTGGTCAGCGCTTGCATGGCCAGGAAATGGACGATTATCAGTGCACCATGATGAGTCTGGAGGCAGTCTCAGACAACCTTCGACGACTGGATGGCTGCAGACTGAGTGAGTCATCTTCTGATCCACGCCAGGTCATTCCAGGCCCTTGCCAGGAGAACTTGAACTTGTACTTCGACCTGGGGACTGGCGAGGCTATCATCGCCCAGTCAGACGACATCCCCACGGAGACCGACATCATCGAGCAGGGGACTAGGTCGAGGAAGCGGGCAGGAACGAGGCCAGATCCCCCATAGACAACCAGCGCGTCCGCGCGACCCACCAGAACAGCCTGGGCGTATCCAAGACTATTGACGCCGCATGTGCTAGGCGCTAAAAGAAGGTCTACACGACCAGCAAGCACGATGTCTCTTGGATTATCAAGTCCCGCTTTTGCGGCGGAGGCTTCTCAGATGCGCAAAAGAAAGACATGGCGCGACATTCCTCAACGGCGTCTCGGTTCCCCCAAGGGGTCACCTCGTCGCCTTCTTCATTGGAGAAGGATCTTACCTTGGGGGCTCGGGATATCTCGACGGCGTGTCTGCAAGGACTGCCCCGCGCAGCGTTGCGCAATAATGCGAAGCAAATGGGCATCGCAGTCAGAGAGCAGCGGAAGGTGCGCCTCAAACCGCCAGGCAATGTCTCGCGCCATTTTAGAAACCATGAGAAGCCGAAGACCAGAGCCACATAGTTGGAGGTACTTGTCTTCCTGCTGCAGCTCTTCCAACCCATCTGCGGCGCCGTGGTCGCCCCATTGTTGTGGCAACTGGCTCTGCCGCTGTTTGTCAGGAGATTCATCAGGTGTCCAGTCCGTTCTCGGTGACAACCTTCTCATGTGGATCAATGATGGCGGCGCCCTGGTGGTCTGGGCCGTTCGCGTGGATGATATCTCCACGCTTGCGAGATTGGCTTTTCTCGGCTGGAGCTTGGCAGAGATGGAAAAGCGATCCGAGAAAACCAAGCGTCGCCAGCTGCCCCCCACGCCCACGGGCATGAGCCGCGATCAGATTCGACCCAGGCTTTGTTCACCCACCAGGAGGATTTCACGGACTCGCCGAAGGAGATCTTCTGTGACCCAGCGCTGACGGGCAGCATCGATAAGGAGCGCACCAAAGCGCAGCAACGCGACCTGAGGAGCGTTTCGCGCGGCTTGCCATGGTTGTGCCAGACCAGGGCATCTACTGTGAAGTGGCACAGTGGCAGCAACAGTTTCGGACAGCCAACACCAGACATCTCAAGCAGGCCAGGTTAATCATCGATCGCGCCCAGAGCAACAAGAAGCTGGCTGGTCTTCACTTCGTACCGCTCAGTTATCCTGCGAGGCCGGCATCGGTCGGAGACGCCTGCCATGGCGGCGCGAGAGCCTCCCATCCTCAGGAGGGTACAGCAGCATGTTTGATGGAGGACCACATGCACGATATCAGAGTGAAGAAGGACTAGGCTCACCCAGACGACGCCAATCTGATCGGTGGTAGTTGTGATTCCTTGATGCTGACGTCAGGTGAAGCAAAGTGTTTCTCATTTACAATATGCCATGCTGAGACGACTAGCGGTTGTAAAGTGAATCGAAGTGCTCAGTTCGTTGCCCTTCGCCTCGCAGAGATCATCACACGCACCGAGATCCAACGCAAGGCCAGCGAAATGATGGAGATATTCGATAGAAGCCTGTATCAGATCCGAGTTGATCACTGCACGGATTGCGTGGATTTCTGGCAGTTGCGTTGTAACCCAGCGACAGCGGGTCTCGAACGGGAGTGTGGAAGTTCGAGGTTGCGAAGAACAAGCACGTCACGATGCGGACGATCATCGAGCCGAAGGAATGCTTCGATGAGTCCGACCTGTTGGACCCCAAGGCTTCAAAGCCGCCCGGCTGTTTCTCTTTGTTCGCCCCTGCACCAGTGTTCAGAGGTGCATATGCTTCTGCCCGCCTGGAGGCGTGTAAGATACGCATGGGAAGTTGGTTTCGATGTTTGATCATTTGTCTTTGGATGTGCGTTTAGGACACCCACGAATTAAGCATGAATGAGTTTTTGGAGCTTCGATTCGGGGCAGGGGAGCCGGAGCCAGAATTCAGGCTTGACTTTCCAGGAGCCACCGAATGTGGACACAGAGGTGGCAGAGTAGTTTGCAGAGCAGACAGTCCGAGGAAATCCGCCCGCAATCGCATCGGGGCTCATGGAGAAACGATTATCTTATCGCCGATCCCCCTGCGTTTCCTCCCATCCTCCCCCCTGCTCTCGTCCCCCCTCCCTCTGCCGCTTGCATTCCGCCACGGGTCCCACCTCATCCTACCAGGCCCCTTCCCCTCCTCCCTTACTTGCCACCGATTGCCTCCCGAATTCCCTCCTCCAGATCGGGGAGCGAGGACCTCCCTCCTCACTTGCTTTCCTCCTCTCACCAGCCTCGAACTTATCCGGATCCCCAAGATTCGACACGCCAAAATCCTATGACAATCTTAGGGATGCGCCCTGAACAACTCAGGAAATCCATAGGATTGGCATGGTGACGAGGCGATGCCCAGCTCAGGGATAGGGATATGTTCCAGGCTGGTAACTCAGAGTCCGACCGCGGGTGGGGAGGCATCTGCGGCCGCCTCTGCAGGGCCAGCCGACGGCTCCTGCCTCGCCAAGCTCAGGCCCGGCAGAAGAGGGAAGAGTTGCTCGCAGGCGAGGAGGGGATGAGCAGAGAACGACGAGAGGAAGTAAACAATATTTGGCGCGGAGCTCCTCATATGGGGCGTTCCAGAGAGGGCCCCGCCTTCGAGGACCGAAAGAGTTGTCATCTCTTCCGCCGCGGAAGGCGGCGGAAGGTCGGCGGAAGTAAAACGAGGCCTCCGCCGACGGCAGCTGGCGGAAGGCCCGCACTTTTTATACGGCAAGTTCGCTTGTCGTCCATTCCACGTGTTCCCGTGGCGTCGCACATCGATTACAGATCCGATGGCGCCGCGATTGCGGTAGGCTTTAAGCAAGCCCTTCACAAGACCTCCAGATCCTGACGCGGCAGGGGGTAGTGCGAGCAAAGGCAGGCTGGCGGACGGCGGCGGAAGTAAACATGCGCCCCCAAGAGATGAAAACGTTTTTGGGTTCAGGGCTTCCAGAATCCGCCAAACATGTGCATGTGTCGAGGGTTCGTGGATGGAGGGGTATCCCAAGGTGGGGCTGGGGAACGGGCCCAGCTAGATGCTCCCGTCAATCGCGCTTCCCTTTTTCCAGGGGCCGTTCGGAGCGATTTCCCTTCCAACCCCACCTTTGCCCCCACCCCACCTGCCCAGACCCTCGACCCCATGGGTCTGGGCCCCTTCCCCAGGATCGGCTTTTCATCCTGAGTCGTTTTTTGACGTTCTGGGGCCCCGGCGAGAGCCCCCGCAGGCCGACAATAGCAAACAAGTTCCCGTCGTTGTCCGTTCAGAACGCGCGGGGGTCTGGGCTTGTGCCCCCCCCCGAGTGCGACTTCCTGGCACGTTGTGTTGTGAGCGTGCGAGCGACAGTCTATAGCCTGGGGCGGCCGGGCGCTGCTCCCCGGCGGCTCTCCGCACCCCTTCGGTGCGCCGCTGGGTGCCGTGCCTCCGCGGCACATCGCGCGGCCCACCGGAGGGTCTCGGCAAGGAAAGGCCTCGGGTATAGCCAGGACTCCCGGTAAGGGGACCCGGGTCAGGGCCATGATCTGATGGCCAGGGCCACGATATCTCCCCAGATGTCATGGCTCTTCTTCTTGTTTCAACACGTTCCCTGGCCACCCCCCTGGTCCGCGCACATGCCTCGGGCCATGATTTGCACACCCCTCTTGGACGCCCCCCTCTTGGCAGCCTCCAGGTAAGAGGACCCCAGGTAAGGGGACCCGGTTAGTAGTAGGGCCCAATCAGCGCCTCGCCATAGACATCCTCAGAATCTGCTTTGACAGCAGACGAGTTTGACCACCAAAACACGCAAACCGCTTGAGACATCCTCGAAATCTGGCCCCCCTGGGGTGCGAAAACCAACGCCTCGCCGGAGATATCCTCAGAGTCTGCTCCGAAAGCAGAGGATGTTGAGGACCAATACAGGCAAACTGCCTGAGACATCCCCACCATTTGGGCGCGAACGGAGGCCGTGCAATACCCCTGACACCCCCCCTTAGGAGTATCCTCAGAATCTGCTTCGAAAGCGGAGGATGTTGAGGGCCAAAACAGGCAAACCGCCTGAGACATCCCCACCATTTGGGCGCGAACGGAGGCCGTGCAATACCCCTGGCGGCCCCCCCTTAGGAGTGCTAAAACCAGCAAACCGCTCGAGACATCCACATCCTCATCATCTGCTCATCGTCATCATCATCATCAGCAGCAGCAGCAGCAGCAGCATCATCAGCATCATCATCAGCATCAGCAGCATCATCCTCATCATCATCATCTTTCACCAACACCATCATACTCACATCACACTCTCACCATACCATGGTCATCATCATGACAGTCAACATCATTGTCGAGCGCAGAGAGGGAGGAGGGGAGGGGTGGTCCGGCGCGGTCGGAGAATAACAAGAATCCCCTCCCTCTGGATGTGGGAAACAAGAGCTCCATCCTTTGGATGTAGGGAAATAACATAGCATAACCGAATGTTGCGTAACATAGCATAGCATAGCAGATCATCAGGGGGAGGAGAAGAAGTGGGGAGAGTGTGTGAAAGGAAGGTCCGCGCGTTCACAGTAATAACAAGAACCCCATCCTTTGGATATGGGAAACAAGAACCCCATTCTTTGGATATGAGCAACAGAACATGACATAACAGGACATAACATGACGAGGAGGAGGGTAGGGCGTGTGTGTGTATGAATGGAGTTGACGCGGTCGGAGTAATAACAAGAACTCCGTCCTGTGAATACGAGGAGCAAGAATCCCATCTTAGGATATGGGGGAAAAAAAGGAAGAGGGCGGCGAGAAGGAAGAGGAGGAGGAGGAGGAAGAGGCGGAGGAGGACGAGAAGCAGCGGCGACAGCATCATACTCATACATGAGGAGAAGATCAGCAGGAGGCGGGAAGGGGGTCCGGGGGAGGTTGCAGGAGCAGCAGCAGGCGCAGCAGGAGGTGGAGGAGGAGGAGATGGATGGACGACGTACCCTGTCCCCACCTGCTGCACAATTTGACATTGTCCAGGAGCGATGTCAACACACTCGGCCCTGTTTTGCCCCCGCCGTCAGGGGCAGATTGCTCTCACGAGCGATCCTGGGCATGGTGTCGCCTGGCGGACTACAGAGGACGCGGGGGCGTGCTCGTGCTCCCCATCTCGCAGTGTTGGCGTGCCTCAAGAAACTTCTGAGGCTCCTTGCCCTCGAAGAGGTCCGCAGCCAGAACCCCTACATGCCCCAAGAGCCGAAGCCGGCCAAGTCCACCGGCCTCCGGGTCGGGGCCCAAGAGACCGGGGTCAATGCAGACGGGGGTCAGTCAGAGCGCCAGATCTCGAAGGATTCTGCAGGGCCAGGGCTGCACTGACCCGGGTCTGGGTGCAGGATCCAGCAGGGTCCTGCAGGATCTTGCAAAGCTTGGCTGACCTGGGCCTGGATTGACCCGGGCCAGCAGGTCCCCGACGGGGTCCGCGTCGCCGTGCTCGGCGCCTCCGCGAACCACCCCACCCACCCGCCGTGCCCGCCCGCAGGCGGCGGCGCCCCGCAGAGCGGCCTGGACCCGCTCGCGAAAGCGGCGAGGCCCGCCGAGCGGCGCGCGGCCGCGGCCCGCGCGCCGTAGACGTCAGCGTCGCCGCCGCGCGCTTCGCCTGCGCGGTTTCTCCGCCGAGGGGTCGTTGCAGCAGGGGTCGGGGCGTGGATGGACCCTCGAGTTGTGGACGACGAGCCATGGAGAGGAAGCACGTTTCCAAAGAATTTAGAGATGTCGAAGCGTGTTGAAGACATGTTTCAAACATGCACAACACATGCTCAAAACATTGTCCTAACATGTTTCCTGCATGTTAGGCGCAGTTTTAATTCAACGATCGGATTGCTAGGGTGTCCATTGTCATGGCATCCACGACCCTTGAGACTCATCACGCCTTCTCCTGCTCCTCTTCCTCCCCCCCGAGAAGCCGCCAAGAGGCCACAGGAGCCCCAGCAGCGTCCATGAGGCCCCAGGAGGCTCCAAAACTGCCTCCAAGAAACTCCACAGAGGCTTCCGAAGATACAAGGAGGAACAAAAACACAAACATAAACTTTTGGCGCTCCGCGCGGATTTCTTGGATCCGCGCTGAGCCCCCCCCAGCGGCGCCTCCGGCGTCGCCCCTGGCACGGTCCAGCGCAGATCCAAGCAATCCGCGCGGAGCGCCAAACGATTGGCTTATGGTGTTTTTTCTTCTTCTACCCCCCCCTCTCCTCGTCCTTCTGCCCCCTCGTCCTCCTCCTGGGACTCCGATTCCTCACCCTCCTCCCATCTGTCCTTTTCCGCATCCCCCTTCTCGACTTGCCCCTTTTCCTGAGGCCTTCGATGATCCGTAGGAGCCTCGTCATCGTCGTGCTCATCACCTGCCGTCTGTGATCACAAATGCGTAAGAACCGCATGCCCGCGATAATAGAGCACCCCCTCTTAACCCCTGAGTCATGATCATCATTGGTTACTTAGATTTGATAGGCGGGCGGTGCGACGAGGCCGAACTTTATCATCACCAGAGAAGGTACGAGTCGTACATTGAATCAGATTATCCCGATTCTCCTTTGGCAGCATCATCAACATCTTTCGTTATCATCCGTCTGGTAAACCCCTCGCACGGTTTGTGGCCCCATTTTGCGCCCTAGTGCTATGCCTGTTCGATCGCGGTGAGCATCGGACTCCTCTCCCTACCCGTTTTCCTCCCTCCGCGCCCCAGCTGAATTTGTTGATCGCCGTCAGTGATTACCAGGCCCAAAGAGCAACCATGAGTACTCCTACGCGACAGGTAGAACACCCCCGAATAGCCCTTTCGTTTTACAAACAGAAGTTGGTAGGTCCGAAATTTTGATTTCTCCTGCATCCTCCTCTTGCCTCTCCTCGTCGTCGTCCTCCTCCCCCTTCTTTTCCTTATCCTCCCCTCCATTGTTTCCTTTTCTTCGTTATGTTTTCTCTTACTTATATTCCGTCTCTTCTCGGTTTCCTCCTCCTTCTACCCCCTCCCCTTTCTTTCCTCCCTCCGCGCTCCAGTTGAACTTTTGTTTCGCCGTCATTGTTCCTCACCTCCAAAGAGCAATTCAGAGTATTCCTACACGACGAGTTGAAACCACCATAGAGATAGCAAAAGTCCCACCCCATCCAGAGAAGGCCCCGCCAGAACCAAGAGCGAGGAGGATTTCTCAGGCTTCGTGCTCCTACATCCGTACATCGTTCATGCCGACATGCGACTTGCCAGGGAAATCTGGTATTGTCCCCCCGGGGCCACGAACTGTATTATCCTCATGGTTTGATGATCACCGGCACAGGGCTACTGCGTTGCATCAGACCTCCATGTCGTCACCGCGACGCGACCACCGTCGCCATGTAATGCTTTCTGATGGCGATGTGCACCAGGCTGGTTTAGGCACCAGCTGACTGGCACCACCGACGCAGTCTTCAACGGAGCTCGCCATCAGCGTCGCCGTGGTTGCCGATCTCGCTGTGAGCGGGTTGTTTCTATCCCTCGCGTTACGCGTCTTGTTGAAGAGGCAGCCGTCCGATTAGCCTTCGCGTGCGCTGGCTAAGTCGAGAATGCACTCGAATAGCAAAAGCTTAGAGAAACAAAAAAAAGGGGCGAAAACGCACCAGCCACGACGCACCACGACATAACAGGACGGAGCAACTGCGAACGGAGCAGAAGGACGGAACAGCGCACATGCGCGACGTGCACAGCAAGAGTGAATGTTTCTGCTGGTGCGCATTAATGTCAGAGCGTGAATTACCTACCCCGCTTTCGCTTCCAGGCAAAACCAAGCCATACCACGCGCCTCCTCGCAAGCGGCCTGACCAGTACATGCTGCAATTTGGCACCGTTTGGTATTTCTTGGAAGCGAGGGTGGTCAAAAGCGAGGTAGGTTTGTCTCCCCCCTAAGAAGGACGGAACAGCGCACATGCGCGACGTGCACAGCAAGAGTGAACGTTTCTGCTGGTGCGCATCAATGTGAGCGCAAAGAAGGGCAGCAAGGAGGTGTCGTGACCGTGCGTGAAACAATATACGATCAACACAGACATTGCATTGTGCCGTATCCATGGTGGAAGGGTGTTGGAGGAGGGCTTCAAGGATTCAGGAAGAGAAGAGGGCTTGGGCGAGCGGGGAGAGAAGGGATGAGTGAAGGAGGTAGGGAGAAGGGATGTAGGGCGGCGGCCCGGATTCGATTGAATTGGGCCGTGCGCAGGGCGAGCGAATGCCATTCAGGACTACGGCGACAGGTTAGATGTCTTCCACTTGGTTTCGCCGAACTTGCCCATCTATAGACAGGGTCTTGGGTTGCCAAGTGTGTTCACAATGCTGCAATAAGCGGTAGGGTAACATTGGTAGCGTGAAACCCGCTGCACCACGAATAGCATGCAACATCTCTAACTTAAACCATGTACCTCCATCAACAGGTACCCATGGCCACGCCACACGGTAACAACAATATGCGTGATTTGTTTTGCGACTGCAGCGGCAAGGTATTTGCTTTGTTGCATAGGGCACCCCAGCACAATTGCGTGATCGTGTACCTCATCGAGTGACTGACACCCGAAGTCAGATGCCGCACGTCCCCGAAAAGCAGTTCATCATCATTGTAGCCCAAAGGGCAGGACACGAATATGACGTGCAAGCTCCAAACACGTTCCCGAAATACTTCCATATCATCGCGTGGTGAATCTGAAAAAAGGGCTCGCTTGAAGTGTGGGTGTCGCCGAAGAGTCGCAGGAAGGGACACGCTCTGAGACCGAGCGCCCAATTGTGGCGCCGGAGACGACTCTGAGGCTGCGCCGCTGGTCGAGCGTGGTGCCGCGGACGGGTCTCGAGCCAGTGTTTGGGGGGTCGCAGGTGGGGAGGGCGAGGGAGGAGGGGAGCCGAGGACAAAAGATGGCACATAAACATTCGATTGCCGACGGTCCGCACGGATTCCGTGGATCGGCGCAGGGACCCCCCGCGCTCCGCGCGCCCGGGAGGGGGGTCTGGCGCAGATCCGAGAGATCCGCGCGGGCCGTCGAGAGCTCCTGTTTCTGCCGTTCTGCGCTCTGTCTGCCTCCGGGGAGAGAGGGGGTCGCGCGGAGTCTGCCAGAATTGCTGCCCGAAGCCTGCCAGCCAAAGACACGACTTACTACCCCCCCCCCTCCTCTGCCGCCGAGAGGAGGGCGAGCGAGGGGACGGCGGGTCGGAGGCAACGATGGGGGGGGGATGGGCGTAGGGGGGGGATGCACCGATTACGTACAGACGATGCATGAGGCCGTCTGCATCGACGATGCATAGGCGATGCATCGGCCACTGGAGATCCATGCGTCCCCCCCCCGTGCCCATCCCCCCCCCTATCTCAGAGGAAGAAGATGGACCACCGCCACCGAGAACCTATCGGTGAGGGGCCTGCCCCTGCGCGGTGGCACGCCTGAGCGTCATCTTGTCCAGGGGTGACATTCGGGCGCGCCACCGCCCAGTGGTCGGCCCCCCGCTGATGGGTTCTCGGTGGTGGTGGTCCGTGTTCCTCCTCTGACTATCGCTGCCCCTCGGAAGAGGGGTCGCGGCGACAGGGACGCAGCGCGGCGCCTCCCCGCCAGCCCGTCGCGTCTCGGCCCAGGCGGCACTGCCCGGCGAGGGGCACGCCGCGGCGGAGGCCGACGTCGGCGGGGAGGCCCCCCTTGCCTCCTCCTCCTCCTCCTCCTCCTCCTCCTTCTCCTCCTCCTCCTCCTCCTCCTCCTCCTCCTCCTCCCCTCCCCCTCCTCCTCCTCCTCCTCCTCCTCCTCCCTCCTCCTCCTCCTCCTCCTCCTCCTCCTCCTCCTCCTCCTCCTCCTCCTCCTCCTCCTCCTCCTCCTCCTCCTCCTCCTCCTCCTCCCCCTCTTGCCATCCCCACCGCGGCGGTGCGCGCGGTGGGGATGGCAAGAGGGGGCCGAGGAGGCGAGCGGCCAGGAGCCACTTCGATTCTGTCGACTCCAATCGGTGCGAGTTTGAGGATGCCGATGTCGGTTCGATTCGGTTCCGAGTTCCGATGTCGGTGTGGGTGCTCTGGTGCAGGCCTCGGTGCGGGCCTCGATGCCTTCCGAACTGCCTGCCGATATCTGCCGCTTCGACGCAGTTCGATTGCCGATTCGAATTTCTGATTCGATCTCGGGTCATCTCGGCAGCTGTCTTTTTGACGGAGAAGGTGAGGAGACGGGGGGGGGAGCTTGATGCAGGGGGAGAAGCAGCGGATGTATGATCCAGGGCCCAATGATGCTTTCCTGCGCTCCCCCCACAAGATAGGATGGGTCTCAGGGTTCCCACGTTCTCCCCACCAGATGGGATGGGCGGGGGAGGTGGAGGCTGGCCTGGAGCCCGCGGCAGCGGCTTGCAGTCCAGGGGGTCTCGGTTTCATAGAAGGTTGTGGAGGTCATCCTTGTCGTCTTCGTCGTCTTCGTCGTCACCGTCTGGCCTGGAGCCCGCGTGGCTTCGTGAAGCTTTGGAAGCGTTGCGGGCTCAAGGGATGGGGATGTTTCGGACGGCTCCCCGAACACATGGTGCTGCGTCCTTCCCTCCTCTTCCTCCTCTGGATGAGGATGAAAGCAGGCGAGGGTGGGGACCAGGATGAGGATTAAAGCGGGCAAGGGTCAATGATCTACCTGTGCAGCAAGAACAGCAGGATGCTGAGGACCTGTGCACCTGAGGAGCAGGATCGTGAGGAGCGGGTGAGGGTTAGGGTGAAATGAGGATGAGGATCCCAAGAGCAGAGGAGACGGAAGAGCAGCTGAGGATGAGGAGGCACACGCAGGATCAGGTTGAAGAGAAGACGAGAAGAGGCAGGCGAGGACGAGGGAACAGGCGAGGATGAGGATGACGGTGAGGATGAGGCTGGCGAAAGAAGAGGGAGCATACAAGGATGAGGATACAGGTGGGGATGAGGCCAAATGAAAAATTTAGAAGGATGCGGAGCATGCCAGGATGGGCATCAGTACGTGAATGGGGCTGAAGAAGCCAGATGACGAGGGCAAGTGAGCGATGATGAGGGGCAATCTGCAGGATGTCGCTGGAGAGCAGGAGGAGGTAGAGGAGGATGAGGAGGAGGAGGAGGAGGAGGAGGAGGACGAGGATGCGCTGCAGGGGAGGATGCGGATGAAGGCGCAGATGAGGCTAAAGAAGAGAAGGAAAGCAAGGATGAACGTCAGTGATTAGCGATCGTTGTTATGCAGTGTTTAGCCGATCGTCGCGGGCCCTTGTCCCCCCCTCCCCCCCTGGAATAGATCTTGGCTGTTTTGGGCGCCTGTTTCGAGCAGGTGGAGTCTCCCCCCATATGACGCACTGCTGCAAACAGTCGCACTAAGCAGAGGTCCAGAGCAGGACCACCCCCTCCTCCCCCCCCCTTCCGCCCGATGTCGAAACGCCGAATAAGGAAACGCTCACTTAGCAGCAGGCGATGACGAAAATGCGCCCCCCCGCAGGGTACGCTACCGAGGCCGTCGGCGGTGACGTTCGCCATGCATCCCGGGGAGCTGGTTGACCATGCGCTCGGCGAGGGCACCTCAGGAAAACGCATTTTCTGGCAGACCGACCTCGTGCTCCGTGTCGTTCTGCTCTTCCTCCTTGCAGTCCTCCTCCATCTCCTCAAATTCCTCCCCCTCCTATTCCTCTTCCTCCTCCTCCTCCTCCTCCTCCTCTTCCTCCTTCTGTCTTCCTTCTTGCTCTTCCTCCTCCTCTTCCTCTTCCTCCTCCTCTTCCTCCTCCTCTTCCTCCCTCACATTCCTCCCCCTCCTCCTCTTCCTCCTCGTCCTCCTCCTCCTCCTCCTCTTGTCTTCCTGGCCTCACTAAACGATTGAGATGCCTGCGGCGAGCCCCGCCGCCGTGCCGGCCCAGTCCCGTGTGCAGCAGCCTTTCGAGGAGCGTGCAGGCAGCCGTACTGTGTGACACGCTCTGCCACGTCGTGTCGGGACGGCTCTCCTCGTGCTCAAGACACACACACACACACAAAAAAAAAAAATGTGTGTACACACACACACACACTGTGGGTAAAAACACAAGCACACACACAAACACACACAATATGTGTGTTTGTTGTGTGTGTGTTGTTTACCCACAGTGTGTTTTTGTTGTGTGTCTTTTACCCACAGTGTCTTCCTCCATTCCTCTTCTTCCTGCCTCCTCTCATGGGGCCCCTTGGGGGCATCTCAGGGGCCTCTTGGCGGCTCCCTGCGCCATCTTAGGGCTCTCTGGGGCAGACTGGCGCCCTCGACTTCTGTCTTGGAGGCCTCTCTGGGCCGTCCTGGGGCCCTCTTGGCCCGTCTTGGAGGTCTCTTGGGCCGTCTTGGTGCATCCTTGAGCCTTCATGGGACCGCGGCATATCGGGCTTTGTCGAGGGCCGAATTGAGGGCCTATTGGGCCGTCTTGGGCCTACCTTGTAGGCCGCTTGGGCCATTTCTGGCAGGCGGAATCTCGAAAAGGCGAGAATGTGAATAACCTTAAGGTCATACAGGCAATCAGTGACTTTTGGTATGTTCGAGTCCTAGTAGGGATCCTCTTGAATCTCTCGTGGGCCGTGTTCGGGGCCTCCTGGGCAATGCTCAAGTCATCTTGGGCAGTCCCGGGACGATCTCGGGCTGCTTCGGAGGCACACGAGGAGTTCCAAAATGGGCCTTGCCTTCGAGGATCGAAGGAGTTGTCATCTCTTCCGCGGCGGAAGGCGGCAGAAGGGTGGTGGAAGTAAAGCGAGGCCGCCTCCGTGGGCGAAAGCCGGCGGAAGGGCGGCGGAAGGCGGCGGAAGTGAAAGACAAAACACGCCCCCCAAGAGATGAAAGCGTTTTTGGGTTCAGGGTCTCCGAAGTCCGCCATCGGGGGCCATCTTGGCGGTGCTGGTGGCCTGCATCGGCAGCCGGGGAAGCCAATTTCCACGGAAAGGGCTTAGGCCAAGGGTTCTCTTTTAGTTTTGTTTTCCCCCTGTGCCATGCTTGAAGGAGGCCGGTGAAACGATTTGCCATAAAAATCTAGGTAAAGTCCCTCTGCTTGCAACAAGTGCGTTTCGGGTGTGCCCGCTCGAGGAAAATGCGCCCCCCATGTCGGATCCTCGTTGCCTAATGGGGTCCGCAGACCCCCGCTTTCCTTCGTAAGAAAAATGGTGCGGGGCGTTTTGCGCAGATTCCCCACTGAATAACGAGGTTTGGATTCCCGACTGGGGCACAAAAAACGTGACAATGTTGACTTTTTGTGTGCCCGCTCGAGGATGGCGCATCCTGAAACGTGGGCACGTCTCGCGCGAATCGCTCGTTTTGTTTGCAAAATTTGACGGGCCTGGGCTTTCCGATATACTTCTGGACGGGTCCTCACCGACTTCGAATCCGCGTTCCCCTCGATCTCTATTCCTTGGGTGCTTCACGTTCTCTCTGTGATGAAAGTCCCGAAACCCCTGATTCAGTTTTTCTTGCGCTTTTCTGCTCAGAACAAAGCTATCATTACTGTTTGTGGAGAACGATTTGGAGAGTTCTATTGAACGAGGTGTTCGGCAAGGGGACCCGAGCTCGATGCTCTTATTCGTCCTACCGTCGAGCCTATCCTTGCCTGGACGCAGGCCCAGCTGCCTGAGCACTTGGAGCTCACACTTGCAAATGCGGATGACTTCTGCTGTGGCATGCGGTGCCTTTTGGATGGTATTATGCCACTCTTCCGATGCCTTCTACAGTTGAAGGCGGCAGTGGGGCTTGCACTTAACTTTGCCAAGTGTCAAGTGCTCGCGGTGTATGCACCATTTCTTGATGTGCCTGTTGATCAGATTCAGTCTCAGGGGATGCCTGTTGTACTGCTCCAGCGTGAAACGCGAGTCAAGTATCTGGGGGTATGGATTGGTGACAGGGCTGAGGAGAGGGTATGGGCTGAGCGCCTCACGAAGTTAAAGAAACGTGCGCGGGATATCAGAGAGTTGGGTGAGGGACTCGCGCAATCGATTGTTTTGTTCAGTATGTTCTGTGCGCCTCTCCTCTACTCTACTTTTCAGCTGTATTCTCCCACTCGTGAGCTGCGTTCCACCTGTCGTTCCTGCGCCACCTTGCTCACAGCCGGGCCTCGTAACGCGCTGTCCTAGGACGTGTGTACGAATCTTAAGCAGTTTGGGCTCCCAGTTGAGTTTCCGTCGCTCCAGCTGGTTGCCGATGCCATTCGAGCACGTTTTATCGCGCGTTGTGGTGAATTCTCGCGGACACGTGCCTCTTATGATGCCATATTTGATGACGACGACTGGTGTCCTGCCAGGAAGAGTCATGGTCGTATCCCTTCATCGTTTTTGGTTCGCCTGATAAGCGCGACGTTCAGAAACAGTAGATGTCTATGCTTAGACCGTATCACCTCCCCTCCGCCCCGCCAGCCGTTGCCCTCCTTCGGAGGATGCGGAATTGGATGCATGGTATTCACCTTATTGATGTTGCCCGTGTATTGACGATTTTGAAAAGGATTTCACGCCGTTCCAGCATGTACCTCGCACTCGCCGTGCTTCGGATTCTCTCCCGCTGTCGTTGTACCAGTTCCCGCGTCCACTCCGCTCCCAAAGGATGTATGATGGGATGTACGGGTGATCGTCGTGACTTTGATGACCTTAAACATCAGTGTTGCCCGCGTTTGCGGAATATGTTTGGAAATTGGATGGGCGGATGGATTCCGAAGGCTCTTGAGGGCTCGCCCTGGCTTCCCTCGTTCCTCCTTTTTTTCTGGGTATGGGACCTGACCTTTTTTTATTGTTTTTTTTCTTTTTCTGCCTTTTATGTGATGTGTTCCCCTCCGCTCACCACTCCTTCCATCTCTCGCTCCCTGGCCGACCCGACCAGCGTTTTGAGGCACGCCTCCGCACCCAAGCCAGGCGTCACAAAGCCTGCCGCGCAGTTTGCGGACGTCCCGAGTCCCACTTCTTTACCTAGCTCGCTGCCTCCATTGTGCTCGGCTTGCTGCCTCGGGTGCGGCCTCCCCAGCGAGATCGGAAGCCTGCTGACAATCCGCCCCGTGGGTGTCGAGCAGCTCGGGCGATCTGGAGTTTTCTTTCCCATCCGCTGCCGGCAGCTGTCCGTGTTGGACGGTTGCCGCGGGAGCGTGGCTGGCATGCTGTCCGCGCCGTCCGTCCGTGGCCCGTGGGAACTCCAAGACCTCCAGAGATCCCCTGCAAAAAAATAATAAGAAGAGAAATAATAATAAGCCTAAGAAGAAGGGGCATAATAATAGTAGTAGTAATAATAATAATAAGAAGAAGAAGCGCTTTACGCACAACCTGTTGGCGCTCCGCGCGGATTTCTTGGATCCGCGCTGGGGCCCCCGACGGCGCCTCCGACGCCGCACAAGGCGCGCTCCGCGCGCCACGGAGTGGGGTCCAGCGCAGATCCAAGAAATCCGCGCGGATCGCCAAAAGATTATGTTCATGGCGTTTTGTTTATTTTGTCCAGGGGTGCGCAACGTCTTGTGGCCCCCAGCCTTCTTGACCCAACCAATGCTCCACGACATTGGTTGGGGATGGTGGGGAGGAGAGGGGGGAGAAAGGGGACGGCGAGTGGAGAAGGCAGAGGGGGAGGTAGCGCTGGCCGTGTGCGTCTCTACTACTTTCTCAACGGAGAGCTAGCTTGTCGACCGTACCAGGCGGCGTTGGCCACATCGGAAGGGTTGGGGCAGCGCGTCTTAATATTGGGCCATCAAGTGAAGGACGCTGGAGATCATCAAAGCTTCCCAACAACTTCAAGGGGAGGACGCAGGAGAGGAGGAGACGGAGGAGGATGAGGATCAGCTGCAGTTGTGCTTTCACCGGCGCCTGGATTGACTCACGAAGTCGAGCTGGCTTGATTGTCAGAGTCAACCAGAGGAGCATGTCGTGAGCCATCTGAAAAGATCCCTTCTCAAAAGGGCGTATCCCCTATACTCGCTGACGCGCAGGATCGGTGCCCTGGTGGCCGGCGTGGCGTTCCAGCGGCGGTGCGGATGGGGAGACGGCAGGAAGCAGAGAGGGAGGGAAGTTGGGGAAGCGGGATGGAGGGAGGAGGAGAAGGGCAAGGAGAGGGCGCTGTCTTTGGGGCGCGTGTGGACAGGTACGTAGAGCTCTAGGTGAGATGGCAGGCTGTCGTGGCGGCCAGGCGCCGGCTGGCCGCACTCTTCCCTTCGTCGCTGTGGCTCCGCCCCTCTGTTGCTTCCTCTATCGCCCTCCGTCAGTGCGCGGTGGGCGCGACCCCGTTGAACGCATGTACGACGCCGCGCTGACCATCAAGCCCAAGCTAGTAGACAGCAGCACGGCACGGCAACCGCCCGCTGGAATCACAAGGCACGGCACAGGACATGGAACATGGAGAATCGAATCCCGCATCGACAACACGGGCTGGCACGCGGAGAACGGTGTAATTACGGGCTGGCAACGTCTGGCCCTTTGTCTGAAAATATCATGGGCGCTAAATACTGCAAGGGTGTTGCAGCATTGGCCGCCTCCGCAAAACATCACGCCCACCTGGCTGTCGCGACCGCGACGTGCCATTTCTTTGACTTTCTTCAGCCGTGATTGTTTTTTTGTGGCCGCAACGCTCGGGCGAGCCTAGCGGGTTGGCTTGGCGTAGACGCCGCAGAGATGACTTTGACGCGCTCTCGTATGTAAGCCCGGCGAAATGCCAGCTTAGTTGAATCAGTTCGGGGATGTTGTGACCAGAGTTTTGGCAGCGCGCGGCGAGTTCGGCCAGATTTCGGGAACTGAGGGTATCCTAATCCTCGTGCCCCCCGCGGTGGCCTCCAGAAGTGCCGCCGACGTCAACAAAAAATCCGCGCGCATGTGTGACCCTCTCCCCTTTCGCATCATGTCCTTCCGCATGGCGGCCTGTTTGCTTTTTAATGATCGGCGTTGCTACAAATCGGAGCCGTGCGCCAGGGCCGCTGAGCCCCGACGAGGAGGTGCTCAAGCAGGCCGCGGAGCAGGAGCTCACGGAAGCCTGCTGGGCAAACGACGTGGCCTTCTCTTCATATCAGACACATTTGAGGTTTAGTCGGGCATGTCCCTCTACAGGATGAACATTCAAAACTAGTTGTTTAAAAAGTAGTCTGGGGACGATTCTTTGCTTGTTTATACATACAACTAGAGAGAGAGAGAGAGAGAGAGAGATTGTCGATTCATCATTTGTCTTCCAAATTCCGCCTGTAGGAGGACATGCCCGACCCAAAATTGGGGGAGCTGTGGGTCTTATCCCACCGTTGGGGGCTCATCGATTTACGATGTGTTCCCCCCGGGAGAGGGAGCCCAGCTCCCCCCCAGTCGTGATTGGTCTGCTTCTCTCGGAAAAACTCAGTATATACTTTCGACACTCCTCGCGGATTTCTTGGATCCGCGCTGGGCCCCCCCTGGCGGCGTATCCGTCGCCGCCCCTGGCGCGCTCCGCGCTCCCGGGAGGGGGGTCTGGCGCAGATCCAAGAAATCCGCGCGGAGCGCCAAAAGTGGATGTTTGCGCAATTTGCTCTTCTACTGTGTGTTTTTTGTGTTTTTTTTTCCTGCGTGTTTTTGTCACGTGTGTTTGTGTGTGTGTGTGAATGTGTGTGATTATGTGTGAATGTGTGTGTGTGTGAATGTGTGTGAATGTGTGTGTGTGTGTGTGTGTGTGCGTGCGTGCGTGTGTGCGTGCGTGCGTGTGTGTGTGTGTGTGTACGTGTGTGTACGTGTGTGTGTGTGTGTGGGTGTGTGGGTGTGTGGGTGTGTGGGTCTGTGGGTCTGTGGGTCTGTGGGTCTGTGGGTCTGTGGGTCTGTGGGTGTGTGGGTGTGTGGGTGTGTGGTGTGTGTTGTTGTGTGGGTGTGTGGTGTGTGTGTGTGGTGTGTGGTGTGGGTGTGTGGGTGGTGTGTGGTGTGTGTGTGGTGCGTGGGTGTGTGGGTGGGGTGGTGGGTGTGTGGGTGCGTGGGCGTGGGTGCGTGGGTGCGTGGGTGCGTGGGTGCGTGGTGCGTGGGTGCGTGGTGCGTGGGTGGCGTGGGTGGCTGGTGCGTGCGCGGGTGCGTGGCGTGTGCGTGTGCGTGCGTGTGCGTGTGTGCGTGTGCGTGTGCGTGTGTGCCGTGTGCGTGGTGCATGGGTGTGGGTGTGGTGGGGTGGGGTGGGGGGTGGGTGGTGTGTGTGTGTGCGTGTGCGTGTGCGTGTTCGTGTGCGTGTGCGTGTGGCGTGTGCGTGTGCGTGTGCGTGTGCGTGTGCGTGTGCGTGTGCGTGTGCGTGTGCGTGTGCGTGTGCGTGTGCGTCTGCGTCTGCGTCTGCGTCTGCGTCTGCGTCTGCGTCTGCGTCTGCGTCTGCGTCTGCGTCTGCGTCTGCGTCTGCGTCTGCGTCTGCGTCTGCGTCTGCGTCTGCGTCTGCGTCTGCGTCTGCGTCTGCGTCTGCGTCTGCGTCTGCGTCTGCGTCTGCGTCTGCGTCTGCGTCTGCGTCTGCGTCTGCGTCTGCGTCTGCGTCTGCGTCTGCGTCTGCGTCTGCGTCTGCGTCTGCGTCTGCGTCTGCGTCTGCGTCTGCGTCTGCGTCTGCGTCTGCGTCTGCGTCAGCGTCTGCGTCTGCGTCTGCGTCTGCGTCTGCGTCTGCGTCTGCGTCTGCGTCTGCGTCTGCGTCTGCGTCTGCGTCTGCGTCTGCATCTGCGTCTGCGTCTGCGTCTGCGTCTGCGTCTGCGTCTGCGTCTGCGTCTCGTCTGCGTCTGCGTCGTCTGCGTCTGCGTCTCTGCGTCTGCGTCTGCGTCTGCGTCTGCGTCTCTGCGTCTGCGTGCTGCGTGTGCGTGCGCGTGCGCGCGTGCGCGTGCGCGTGCGCGTGCGCGTGCGCGTGCGCGTGCGCGTGCGCGTGCGCGTGCGCGTGCGCGTGCGCGTGCGCGTGCGCGTGCGCGTGCGCGTGCGCGTGCGCGTGCGCGTGCGCGTGCGTCTGCGTGCGTCTGCGTCTGCGTCTGCGTCTGCGTCTGCGTCTGCGTCTGCGTCTGCGTCTGCGTCTGCGTCTGCGTCTGCGTCTGCGTCTGCGTCTGCGTCTGCGTGTGCGTGTGCGTGTGCGTGTGCGTGTGCGTGTGCGTGTGTGTGTGTGTGAGTGCGTGCGTGCGTGCGTGTGTGCGTGTGTGTGTGTACGTGTGTACGTGTGTACGTGTGTGCGTGTGTGTTTTTTCCGCGGGCCTCGCCCGCCCACTCGCTCAGTCTGCGGATCCTCAGCCCGGGAGCCGAAAGTACCCCCCTGTGTTTCCCGAGACGCGGCTCCCTCGCTTCTGGAATCTGACTTTCGGTATCGCTCATATCCCCATCCCCATCCCCATCCCCTCCGAGACCCCCAGCAAATTACCACCACGGTTGGGGAGACACTTCCCGAAGCTCGAGGGGAACGGCTTGTATCCCCATCTAGGAGGGTAAATCGGCCAGTGGGGCCCAGGCCGCGCCGCTGGGGATAGGGATCGGTTAAAAGATATTCAAACATGCACGCGCACAGCGATCCTGGCCAGGCCCATCCTGGGACCAGGATGAACCAGTCCAGGGTAAAGTGTGTGTATATATATATATATATATATATTATCATACGCACCTCTCCGAGGGAGTGGAGCTCAGAGGCGATTAATGCGTACGCGGGCGTTCGCGATTTTTCTGGCCGTTTCGTTAGGGACAGCCTCGACATTCCGAAAATCGGTGGACCCCTCACGCAGATCGTGACGTCAGGGTCCAACAACACATAGGAATTTCAACAATTTCACATAAAACCTTCAAAAACCCATTGTACTGTCAATAATTTCGACCCCGATTCTCAGAGAATGGCGGTTTCGCCTGAAACATCCTCCCAAAATCGAGCCCCGACGTACCCTCTGGTACCCCAGACCCCGCCTCGGAGCCTCCTGGGGGCCTCCTGGAACCTCCTGGGGCCTCCTGGGGTTTTCTGAACCTTCTTGTACCCAGACCCCGCCTCGGAGCCTCCTGGGGGTCTCCTGAAACCTCCTGGGGCCTCCTGCGGCCTCCTGGAGCCTCTTGGGGCCTCCTGAAGCCTCCTGGGGTCTCCTGGGGCCTCCTGAGGCCGCCTGGAGACTCCTGGGGCCTCCTGGGGCTTCAGAACTACATGCACACACACAGAGACACAAATCACGCCCAACACATCACACGCTAGACAAACATAACACACACACACACACACACACACACACACACAACACCTACAACGCACAAAAAGCACACACAACACAGAGCACACTTCACACACACACACACACAACACTAACAATCCTGGGGCCTCCTGGAGCCTCTTCTGGTATCCAAGTCGGGCTTCCTGAGGCTTCTTGGGGGGCCCTGGTACACACATCGCAAGGTGTGGCAACCCCACTTGCGCTCGAGTGCGACTTCGCCGTTGCATTTCACTCCTCTTTCAAACGCCCCTTCAGTTTTTTGTATGAGCCTGGGCACACACGTGCCACTTGTATATATACATATATACATATATATATATACATATATATATATACTTTAGGCCTCCCAGATGGGGTCGGAGTAGATGGGGTCCGAGGATCGCGCCGCATCGCCTATGCATCGCCTATGCGGCTCGATGTGAAGCCCGATTTGCTTCACGTCGATGTCGCCGATGCATCGCCGACGTCGACGATGCAGCGTGAGGGCCAAATGGTGTTGATACTCCTGTGGGGCGTGGCCAGAGCCACTGCGGCGTCCGAGGCCGGATATCGGGCTCGACAAGGGCGGAGGGTCGGGGACGCCCACGGGGAGTCGCCCGAGTTTGTCGGGCCGGACGAAATTGGGAAAGGGGGGGTTACGAAACTTGTCGGGCCGGACGAAATTGGGAAAGGGAGAGTCGCCCGAGTTTGTCGGGCCGGACGAAGTTTGTCGGGGATGTCCACGGGGAGTCGCCCGAGTTTGTCGGGGACGTCCACGGGGATTGGGAAAGGGAGGGGTACGAAATTTGCTGCATGCAGCTGGTTTCGGCCCCACCGAGGGGCCCATTCCTCGATACATAGCCGCCTCCGGCGCAGGGAGGCGCCGGGAGAAGCAGCTACGTGAGCTGATTCTGAAGCCCCCCCTTTGCTATCCCCCCCTTTCGCCCGACCCGAGTTTGGGCATCGGTTCAGGCATTGCTCTGGCGTTCCACGGTTTTGCTTCGTGTCGCCGTCGATCGCGTGCCGTTTGTTCGCGAGGTTGACATTGCAAGGCGGATACCTGCAAACGGACGAAAGCAAGAAGCGTCCGACGAGGGAATCCATTCGATTTGCGAGTGGTTGATTTACGACTCGCCGCGTGCCGCTGCCTGCATGAGCGGACCGCGGCCCATCCGCGCGAAGAGGGACGGGATCCCGAGGGGCAAGCTTCAAGGAACGTGTGCTTCCGTCGAGGCCCTGGCGAGGCATCGGCAGAATCGGAAGCTGCTGGCCTCTGCGCAGTCCCCCTCTGTGTCGAAACGATCGGATTGTTCCCCGCGATCGGTTCCCCAAGTTCTCCACTACCCTCGGGACCCTGCATTCTTCATGCGGGTGTGGATGTTGCTCGAGTCTTCTGGGACAGTCCCGGCGGCGTTCCTCCTGGTGGCGTTGATGCAGGTAGTGTTTCGCGCTCGTGGCCCCAGCTTGACCCGATGCCTTCTCCGCCGATGGGGCAACTATGCTTTGTTCCTACAACATAACCCTCGCCTGCCGAGTGTCATCGGCGCGGCCAGCGACATCCCCCTTGGTTGTTATCTGCGGGTCCCGCTTCCCACGCCATTGGGAATCCGGACAGTGATAGGACAGCCAGCGGATGGACTAGTAGGGACCACAAGTGTACGCTCTCTTATCTACACGTGTATATACACATGTATATATATATACACACATGTGTATATATATATAATATAGGTGCTGCGCTGTAGATCAAGCGTGCTGGTTTCCCCTTTCCGCGTCGCATCTGCACTCAGGTAGGACTCTGGAGCCCACGTCAGCGGCCCAGCTCGGAAACACTGCTGCCACCCCCACCCACCGCAGTCCGATCCTCCCCGCTTGGCATTTACCTTCGCAAACGCCGCACCATGAACATATCTGCTCAAGCCGTCCTCCCTGCAGCATCTTTCGATGCACCCTTCCCGTGACCAGCAATGGAGAGCTCATGCGTGGATTCGCAAGCGTGCGTATATCTCCTCGATTGCCGGGTTGAGCAAGCTTGCGACTGCTGAGCTGCAGTCGACGACGCATCGTCCTTCCCGTTCGTGGCCCCCCCCGTCGCTCGATCCACGAAGGCAGCCAGGGCGGGCCATACGCAGCAGACAGGTGGTGAGACGAAGAGAAAAGGGGAAACGGCAGCGCTTGCGACAGCGGCAGCGGCAGGCGTGTCCGACATCGGGAGCCTTGAGACGGGGGTCGACGTAAACGGGGGGCAGCCAGAGCGCCCGATCTTGCAGGATCCTGCACGAACAGGGTTGCATTGACCCGGGCTTGGGTGCAGGATCCTGCGGGGTCTTGCATGATCCTTCGCGTTGACCCGGGCTTGGGTGCAGGATCTTGCAGGATCCTGCAAGGCCTGGCTGACCCGGGTCTGGATTGACCCGGGTCAGCAGATCCCCGACGACATTCCGACTCCATACGCCGCCCCCCCTTCCCCTCCTCCTCCTCCTCCTCCTCTTCCTCCTCCTCCTCCTCTTCCTCCTCCTCCTCCTCCTCCTCTTCCTCCTCCTTCCCCCCTCCTTCCCCCCTCCTCCTCCACCTCCTTCCCCCCTTCCCCCGCTCCCGCGCACCCGCCCCCCAGGTGGTGCGCATCGAGGCGGCGTGCCGGCGCGCGGAGGCTGCGAAGGCCCCCCCGCTGCGAGAGAGAGCAGCTCAGACGTTGCGGCCTGCCTGCCGAAGGCTCAGGGCTGCGGGCGGCCTCCAGTTCGGGTGTATCCCGACGCGCGGCGGCTCCCACCCTCTCCGTCGCAGCCCTGCGCGAGTGGACTCGCGGCCTGTCCCTCCCATCTGTCCCCCCGAGGCCTTCTCGGAGGTGTGCCCACCCTGGTCCGTGGACCCGGTCCGCCCAGGAAGAGAGCATGTCGGTCAGTCGGACAGGGAGGCGGAGGTGACAGTGGCGTGGTGGTGGTGCTGCGGTCATGTGTAGCAACAGCTTGGGGGAAAGTGTTGTTGACGCGTCAGCGTGCAGCCCTTTTCCGTCCAGCCGCCAATCTTTTGACCCCCCCTGCAGGTCCACCACGTCCGCATCCAGACGGCGCGGCTGAAGGCTCTGGGCCCCCTCCCAGGAGACATGAAGCCTCTCTCCTGAGAGGCGAGTTTCCCTCTCTCGATTTCGAGGACTGGCGAGGGGGACCATCAGCCAACGGCACACAGACCTTTGAAGGCCGAACGCGTGTGGTTTATACTGCGAGACGCTGCCATTCCCGAGGCAGGTGGGCCCGTGTTGTTGCCATTTTTCCTCCGCCTGATTTCCCGTTCCTTCCTCGCCGCCCCTGGACTTCCCATCCTCCGCACACTCTTCCCTTTCATTCCACCCCACCTCTCCCTCCTCCTCCCAGGAGGGGGATTCGCTCAGGAGGGGGCAGACTCTGACATACGAGCCGCTCACGCCAGGAGCAAGAAACCACTTCCCCTCCTGGACTGTACTGTGTGACGCTGACAGAGGCTTACCGACGCGGAGCGGCATGGGACATCTAGTTCTGTGGGCTCCATCAGCTCACACCAGCTTTCTGAGAAGCGCGATGAGTCGTGCTATGATATCCAGTCTTTGCTACAAGCCCCGCCACCATGCCATGCCGCTACAAGAAACGCTCCAGTTGTGTGTCTGAAACACACCCATCCTTGTCCGCAGCCTCGTGCTTGAGAGGCTGCGGACACGGATGGGAGGAGGAATCTTAAGATGCTTCCTCCCTCCTCACCCTCCTCCTCCTTCTTCCTCGTTCTGCCTCCTCATCCCTCTCCCGTCCTAGAAGCAGACGTGAGGCCTCGTTTGGGCTTCCTTGGGGTCTCTCGCGGGAATAGTTTGGGGTTCCTTGTGGGGGCTCGTCGTGGCGTGGTGCATTCCTGCCAAGGGGCTCTCCCGAAGAGGCTCGGTCGAAAACCATCTCTGGGCATTCTGGGGGCGCCTGGGCGAGTCGCTGGGCCGTCTTGGAGTTCTCATGTGGAGCGATCTTGGAGCTCCCCCTCCTCCCCCTCCTCCTCCTCCTCCTCCTCCTCCTCCTCCTCCTCCTCCTCCTCCTCGTGTTGAGGGAAGGCTTGGGCCCGTCAGAGAGTCTCTGGCCCCGCCGCGGGCCGCCCTGGGGTGTCTCTCTTGGGGGCTCTCCGAGGTGTGGCCGGGGCGATCCGAGGCAGAGAAGCGCTGCCAGCGACAGGCCGCGCGGACGGTCCTCGGGCGCCTCGGGTGCGAGGCCTCGCTGCTCGGGCCCCGGGGCGCCTCCTTTCGGGGGGGGGGGGGGGGGCTCCTCGGGGCCTCTCGCAGGAGGAGGCCTCCGCGGGACCTGTGGATTCGATGCTCGTTTCGGGGACCTTCCTGGAGCCCACCTAACGGATCTGTTCGACCCCAGTTCGACTCAAGTTCGACTCATGTTCGACTCAAGTTCGACTCAGGTTCGACTCAGGTTCGACTCGGGGTCGACCCAACTCGACTGACGTTCGACGCAGCTTCGACGCACGAGTGGAGCGAGTGGCTCCAGGAAGGTCCCCAGAACGAGCATCCAATGTGGAGCCCCTGGGCGCTCGCCGTGCAACGCATGGCTGCGATTCGGGCCTGCAGTGGTGGCGCGCATCAAGAAGCCATGTGCTTCTCGTCGGGGTATCCTGGGCTTCTGCGCTCCTCGCGCTGCGCGGCGACTTCCCGCAGCCGTTGAAGGAGTTGCTGCGTTCAGGGTGTTCCGGGTTTCCCCTCAGGTGCACTTCGCGCACGGGTTTTCAGGGTTGGGTTTCTTGCGAGGGTTTCTTGCGGCCGCGCCCGCACTGTATGTCAGTTGGGACCGTCGTTGGTCTTCTGAGAGCCGTCCAGGGGCCGAAGGGGGCGCAGGGGAGAAACACCTGGAGGCGATTTATCTTGGGAGGGTCGCGCCACGGGCGAGGGGATCTGGTAGTGGAGAAACAAGGGATCTCAACCAGCGTTGGTTTCAAGCAGGGACATTCAATATGCGTTGAAGGACTCCATTGGCGTCATTGGTCTCCAAGGGCTTCCAGTCGGTTCCTCAGGAACCCATTGGAGCCCATTGGACCTCATCTGACGATCCCCGTTAGGATACCTTTGCGACCCGATGGGAATACATTGAGTCCAGTTTAGCACTCCATTGGGCTCCATGTGACTCTATTAGAACCCATTGGCTTCCATTGGATTCTATATTTTGGATTCACTCGGACCCGATAGGACTACATGGCATATCCTGAGGACACCATTGGGCCCCAATGGGGCGAATTAGGCTCCACTGCTCCATTGGACCCAGTAGACTCCATTGGACAGCATTGGAATGCATTGGGCTCCGTTGGGCCCCAGAGGACTCCGTTGAACTTCATTGGGCCACAATGGGCTGCATTGGACTTCACTGGGCTGCATGGAATCCCATTGGCCTGCATTGAACTCCATTGGCTTCCACTGGGTACGATATGACTCTAAAGGGCTTCATTGGATTACATTCGTTTCTATTGACCCCCCTGGTCTCCATAAGGGCTCCATTCGACTACCATAGGGCTGCATATGACAGACTCCGCCGTTCTCCAGAATGCACCCTTTTGGAATGAGTGCGACTCCCATGGAGGCTATGGACCCCATGTGAACCATTGGATTCCATGGGACCTCAGGTACTGTATGACTCGAGTGGGCCACATTTGGCTCAAGTGGGGTGTGTTAGACCCCATTGGTCTCCATAGAACTTCTTTGGACTCTATCTGGCACCGGTGGAACAGAAAGGACGACGACATAGGGGCACATAAGAATACATAGGCGTGCGCAGGAATACATGGGAACCCACCGGGATCATATGTAACACAACGGATCCCACCGGAGGGCATGGACACCATCGGTCTGCGTAGGAATTTATTGGAATCGATCGCGCTCCATCGTATACCATAGGACCCCATCGGTCTGCGTTAGAGTCCGTTGGTACCCATAGGACTCCACTGGGCTCCGTGGGATTCATATCGGCCCCACTGAACTCCAGTGGACTCCATGCCACTGCATTGGTCGCTATGTGACGTCGTCGGATCTCAGCCGTGCACGTAGGGAAACATGGGAACGCATCGAAAAGACAAGGAATACAAAGCAGCACATAGGAACACTCAGGAATGCAAACGAATGTGTAGGAATACTTGGAAGCACGTAGGAGGAAGCCTGTAGCGTTCCCCACCAATCCTATGACATAGTATCCTTAAACGTCCTGCGTAGGCTCCGCAATGTCCGAGCCACAGCTTCATAGAATACTAATCAGCAGCGCGCGTTTTCAAATTGACTAGACCAAGACGTCCAGAAGGGTCATCGCCTGGACAGGAGGTGGCGGAAGCGATCTCCGAGGGGGGAAACGTCGACGACGAGGACGAGGCGAAGATGAATTGAAGATGGCGCTCGAGGGCGAGGACGAGGATCCATCTGGATCTGCTTAAAGCTTTTCGGCGTTATGGGTGCAGTTGGTTGATGTATGAATGGCGAGGCTGGTCTATGGAATAGTATAGCTAGTGGTCGCACCCTGTGCTGTGCGATCCGCTGTCGTTGTTCATGTCGTGGACATATTCGTGTGAGTTTCCGTCCCTCTGCATGTGCATGTTCTCCATAAGAGGTCCTTGCGGCAGCGTTTGTGGTCATTATGCCATTGTTTCTTGCTTGCGCGGTCGGTGGGCACGGCATCGGCTGTCTTGGTGGCAGCAGCCGTTCTCCTCGGTATCGGCATCTTGCCCCCCTGCTGCACTTGCTTACCGGCGCGATCCTTGTATTCCTCAATGTCTCCGTCCTCCTCTTTCTCATTATTCTTCTCCTCCTCCTCCGCCTCCGCGTCCGCGTTCGCGTCCGATTCCTTCTTTCATGTTTGCGTTCTCAAACACAGAAGCCTCCAATGCCTCGGGGTACGCTCAACCTCCTTATCATTCATCCTCTTACTCGGGCCCTCCCTCGTCCTAATTCTCAAGTTGAGAACAACTGCGAAATAATCCGGAGGGAGGGACCTGTGGGTGGGTGGGATGTGCAGCTCGTTGCCCATTTTGGTTCAAGTTTCGTTGTGGCATCCCATCCATCCACGAGGTCAGGCTGACCGGGCCATCTCTCCCCCTTGGCCATCTCAGTCTGGCGGTTGGCGGAGCTCTTCCCCCAGCGGCTAAGGCCCAGGCGCTCACGGAGGCGCGCGCGGCCACCGCCTGGGTGGGGTTGGCGGCTGGACCGTGGACGGCCGTCCAAGAGAAGACGGGCAATTTCGCCGACCGACTCCGCAACATGGCGCTGCTCCCTGCTCATGTCTCACGTGCGAGGCTCACAAGTGTACACCACCACCACCTCGCTCATCCCCTCCCCCTTCCCAGGAGAGAGGAGAGGGAGAGGAGGGTAGAGGAGGGAGGAGGACTGGAGGTGGTGGTGGTGGTGTACACTCTCGGGACCCGCAGTACGGGCGGCAGGTGCCGCGCCCCGGCTTCCGCCCACGGCTTGTGCCGCGGAGCATCGGCCGCTCACGCGGGTGGAGGCCGCGCAGGTGGGGCTGCCTTTGGGGGGTCGAAGAATGACAGAAACAAAAAAACTGGAAGGTCCGTGCGGATTTCTCGGATCCGCGCTGGGCCCCCCTGGCGGCGCCTCCGGCGCCGCCCCTGGCGCGCTCCGCGCGCCAGGGAGGGTGGTCCAGCACCGATCCGAGAAATCCGCGCGGACCTACACAGTTTTATGTTTATGTCACTCTTCGTTCTCTAAAGCTGCAGGCGCAGGCCTGGGCGGACTGCGTCGACATCGACCCTCTGGAAGCTTCGGCGCAAGCCGCCGCGCCGACCGCGCCGGCAGGCACAGGAGGAGGGCCTCCCGGCGGAGACGCCAGCATGGGGGCCGCCCCCGCGCCGCGCAGGAAGGCCTTGCTCAGGCAGGTCCTCGTGCAAGGGGCAAGGCGGAGGTGCTGGTTGCGACGGGCCTGTGGCGGAGGCCTGGTACAGTGGAGACCCATGCCAAGAAGCACCCTGCTTGCCCCCAGGGTGCCCTTGGTTTCCTGGGTTTCGATGGTTCTGCCATGGAAAGCGCGACGTTCCCATACCAACAATCCATGGACGCCCTGTCATCTCAGGGTCGGG